GGACACCAATTCAAGCCTCCAAAGACTGGGAACGGTGGCTATATTAGAAGTTAAATACAATTAAGTGTTTCTTATTACCATTAGAAATGGGTGCAAAGTGGTCTCTGGATGCTCACCTTGTGGGCATGAGGTGATTGTAGTTATAAACTTTCACAAAGGACTTGATCTTTGACCTTCTGGCAATTTTTTTCTTGCCCATGGCAGCTGTCACTTTTCGGGGATAGCGGTCAATTCCAGCTACCAGAGCATGGCTGTAGGGGCGGTCGGAGGTGCCATCATCAATGTTCTAAATGAGAAAATGAGTTATTACCAGAGGGTCTATTTATAGGATTTGTCTGGACGAAGGCAGGTACAGAAAATATTCCCAATACCAGATCATTCTGGGGGAAGAAAAGGGAAATAGTCACACAGCACAAGGCAGTTCCTACACTAGATAACCTAAGAGTAATAAAAAGGATTCTGGTGGCAAGAAATCAACAAATGGAGGGCTTGGTATGTCTCAGCACAGTGCTTAGTACTTCCTCCACTGCTGTTGTTTGTGGCAGTTCCGTAGGGTTTTTAAAAGGCAGCTTTCTAAACCTTAAGGCTAGTAACCCAGCAGTTAACCTTTTGTGCCCACCTGGTTACGTTACTCAAAAACTCACTGTTGTCAGTTTCAACCTAAGACTGTAAAGCTCACTGGACACTGCTGGTGAGCCACAGCCCCCTGGTTCAAAGTGCCAGAGAGACAATCTTCAGGTTAGCAGCTCAACATCCCGCTACATCACCAAAGCATAAGTACAAAAAGCCAGGACTGAGGCAACAGTATGGAGCCCAAAATCAGAGCCTACATCCCTGTTTCAAGCAAATGGGAGGGAGAGAAGGGGGAATCAAGCGTATGTGGCTGGTGCTTGGGGGTATCTGGCAGAAGAGTCAGGGAGGGAGGTAGGAGACAAGCAGCTTCAACTTACACAATATGCCAAAAGTTAGGTATGAGTTTGAACCAAAGATACATGACTTCCTAAAATGAGAAACCTGTCTTCCTGCTCAAGGATTTCTTTTTTTATTTTTGCAGTGTTTCCTAAGTTATTTCCTCAACGTCATGAAAAACAATCTTTTGCAAGGAGCTGCAACTACAATCCCAGAGGCGCACGGTTCGAATCCACCAGATGCTCTGCCGGGGAAGGAGGGTTCAATCTCCTCCTGTACCTGTCAGATCTGATTTGATGGTACACGCACACAAAAATAATAAATTTTTTTTTAAAAAAAGAAAGAAAAACAATCTTTTTACCCCCTTCTGTTATTATTATGATAAACAATCATTTTAACCAGAGGCAGTCTTGAGAGGCATAGATAGCTACGCCACTTAACACCAGCAGGATCCAAAATAAATGACTTCACATTTTCTGACACTTAACACAAGGCCTGTGGAAGATACCTGTGAAATACTGCACCTAGTAGGCACTCAGTAATGTTGACCACAATCGTAGTCATTTAATGTCTCTCTGGTTAAGTGTAAGTTCTCTAGCGAAAAGCACATTAGGTATTAGCTGCCCTATACAGTTCACGTCTGTTTTTCTTGTGCATCTTCTGCTCTCAAAAGGAGAGACCTGGAGGCACACTGGTTATGGGATGGGTTAACTAAAAGGTCTGCAATTGGAACCCACCAGCTGTTCAGTACAATAAAGATACACAATTTTCTAAAAGCTTGGCAAGGTCTACGGGGAAGCTCTACTGTCCCGTAGGTTAGCTGGGTCCTAACGAACTTAAGGGCTGTAGGTCTGGAAACTTCTCTAAAAATCCCGCATGCATTCACTCCTTCAGCCTGCAGAGTTCAGTGTCGACTGCCCCGGACGTCTCCCCCCGTAGTTCCAAGACACGAGGGCATAGAGGACCCCGAGCCTAGTACCTTGACGATGACAGCTTTGCGTCCAGAGTAACGTCCGGCCAGGACCAGCACCACCTTCCCTGGTTTCATGAACTTGCCCATTTCTGCAGAGAGGAAGAAAGCAGTGTCACAGACCCTCTGGGTTCAGGGCAGCCCGCAAACCCAGGCTGTGGACTCGATCTTGACTGCGCTCATTACCGACTTGGCCCCGGCCGTCTGCAACCCTGCTCGCAGAACCAGGTCCCCTACAGAGTCGCCAGAAGCTTTGGAACAAAGTGCACTCGGAGTCACCCCGTAACCAGACTCCCAGGCCCCGGATGGAAGTGGATGGGAAGACGCTGCCCGATCTCAACTTACCGACAGCTGCCAGCCAGACAGACAACAAAAAGGAAGAAGCAGTACTTCCGTTAACCTTTCACCACAGGGAGAAAGTGACTTCACTTCCGGTTCTGCTCATAAGGCGTCATTCGCCAATCACTTTTCAGAATCTGGGTTGTGGGCGGAAGAAGTTTGTGAGGGAAGAGCAGGTCCTGGCAGAGTACTTATTTGAATCAAACTTTATTAGTATCCTGGTAGTTGACAGGCAAAGGAGTCCCGCCTCCGTGTACGGATACTAGAAGCGGATTGGTTTGAGTTCTTTGGATCAGTTGCTCCGCTTCCGTTTTTGTAGTTACTTTTTTGACGTTAGGGTGGAGGCTGTCTGAAGTTCGGTTTTGCCTTGTTGTTTTATCTGCCATCGAGTCGTTTGCGACTCATAGCGACCCTATGTACAAGAGCTCTAAACGCTGTTCTATCCTGTGCCAACCTAGCCATCCCAAACGCACTTATTCCTACCGCTGCAGTCACAGAATCGATCCATCTCATCGAGGGTCTTCCTCTCCTTCGCTGCCCCTCCACTCTGCCAAACATGATGTCCCTCTCCAAGGACCAGTCCCTCCTTGCAACATGCCCAAAGTATGTCAGACGAAGCTTCAGAATCCTTGACGCCAAGGAGCATTCCGGCTTCACCTTCTCCAGGACAAACATGTTTGTTCTAGCAGCCCATGGTATATTCAATACTCTTCTCCGGCACCACAGCTCAAAGGCATCAATTCTCTTTCTATCATCCCTATTCACTGCCCAACTCTCTGATGCATAGCGCGTAATTGCGAAGACTATAGCCCGGATCAGGCGCACCTTAGTCTCCAGCCTGATGTCAGTACTCTTGAGAGGTCCCTCACAGCTGACTTTCCCAATGCAATTCGTCTCTTGATTTCCTGGCTGCTGTTACCAAGAGTGTTGATTGTGGAGCCAAGTAAACTAAAACTGTTAACTATCTCAATCTCTTCACCATCCACACTGTTGCTGCCAATTGCCCCAGTGGTGAGAATCTTTGTTTTCTTGATGTAGAGCTTCAATCTATATAGGAGGCTGCAGTTTTGCCTTAGAAGAAGCAAATAATAAGATGGGGTATTTTTTGATGCCCAATGGGTACACTCTGTTAGGTGCCTAAGGAGAGAGAGACAAAGATCAAGTGAAGGTTCTTTCCCCAGACATTTACATGACATCACAGACAACTAGAATTAAGCAATGAAGGAACAGAAAGATGGTGATTGTTTAACCTGTGCAAGGAATTCAATAATTTATGTATGTAATTTGAGTTTCATTATTAAAAATACTAGACAATAATTTCTATTATTATTTCCATCCTACCGTTGAAGAAACAGGTTAAATAGCTTGTTCAAAGTCCCTAATTAATAAAAAGAGCTGGAACTCGCCTCTTGAACTTTTGCTTTTTATGAAATCATCAAACTAACTACCTGTTCTATGCCAGACAAGGGTCTAGCCATTTTATGTAAGTCAATAGCCTGTTTGTTTAATCCTCATAACTCTGCATCGTAACTATTTTCTTACCATTTAGACAAGAGAAAACTAAGTTCAAAGATAAATTTGCATCTCTTGGATTGCATCTGACCTGTACAAAGTTGTTGTTAGATACAGGTTGAGTTCACTAGGACTCATAGGGACCCTATCAACAATGGATCTGAACTCTGCCCTATCCTGTGCCATCTCTGACATATTTGAGTCCTTTGTTAAAGTTATTGCGTCAATCTATATTGCGGGCATTTCTCGCTCTCACTCACCCTCCACCTTTTCAAGCGTGATGATTTTCCCCCACAGACTGGCCTCTTCTAACAACATGCTTAATATATGTGAGATGAGGTTTCACTATCCTTGCCTCTGAGCAGCACCTTGGTTGCACTTTCTCCAAGATATATTTACTTGTTCTTTTGGTAGTTCATGGGATATTCTGTATTCTTCTTCACCATCACAACTCAAAGGCATTGTTCATTGTCCAACTTTCAGATGCATAGCAAGTATCTGAAAAGACCATGACCTAGATCAGGTCTACCTTAGTCCTTAAAATAACATTGTTGCTTCTTAGCACTTTTGAGAGGTCCTTGATAGCAAAATTTCCCAATGCAATACATCTTTTTATTTCTTGATTGCTGGTACCAAAGGTGTTGATTGATTGTAGATCCAAGTAAAATGAATAGTTGACAACTTCAGTTCTTCTCCATCATGATGTTGCCTGTTGGCCCAGTGGCAAGCATTTTTGTTTTCTTGATATTGAGATGTAATCCATATTAAGGGTTATAATCATTGATCTTCTGTAGCAAGTGTTTCAAATCCTCCTTGATTTCACCAAGCAAGTTTATGTTATCTTAATTAACACAGGTTGTTCAAGTCTTCCTCTAATCCTGATTCCACATTCTTTTTCATGAAGTCCATCTTCTCAAATTACTTGCTTAACATACAGATTGAACAGCTGTGGAGAAAGGATACAACTCTGATGCACATCTTTCTTACAACAGGTAAAATCTATGTCTAGGATCCAGGTCTAGTTTCTCAAAGGTCTTTTGATTTCTTGATTTTTCATCACTCCCAGGAAGAATATTAAGATAGAGTTCAAAAGAAGAGTTAATCTTGGAGCTCTGGTGGCCTAGTGGCAAGGAGCTGCAACTACAATCCCAGAGGTTCACAGTTCGAATCCACCAGATGCTTTGCCGGGGAAGGAGGGACAATCTCCTCCTGTACCAGTCAGATCTGATTTGACGGTACACGCACACAAAAATAAAAAAAAAAAAGAAGAATTAATCTCAAAGTTTTTGTTCATCTTGGGAGCTCTGGTGGCCTAGTGGCAAGAAACTGTACTGCAATCCCAGAGTTATGCGGTTTGAATCCACCAGATGCTTTGCTGGAGAAGGAGGGGCAATCTCCTCCTGTACCAGTCATATCTGATTTGACGGTACACACACAAAAATAATAAAGTTTTTTAAAAAGTTTTTGTTCATCTGAGCATTGAAGAATGTATTGAGAATGTATTGAATACATTGAGACATAAGAGCAATCAATATTCTCCAGCAACCCTCATGATCCCATTCCAGTGATTTTTTTCAAACTGATTACATAGCTGCATTTTTATATCCAATTATAATACTTTCACTTCTATTATGACATTATAGAGTTGGAAGGGACATCAGAGATAATTTACTCCAGCCTCTCAGAAATTATAAGACAATTTTAAAATAGCAAGTCAGTTTGTTGTCCAGAGCAAATTCTCACTCCCAGCCCAGTGTTTTCCCCATTTCACCAAACTAATCTGTCCATGTTATCATTGTCCTCACCTAGTTTCCTTCCATGCTTCTACTCCTTGCTTCTCTTTTGGGGAAATAGCAACCAACCTTTAAATCTTTGTAATCTCTTGAGCCGTCTCACATATTTCCATCACTATTGGTTCCAACTCACAGTAAGGCTATAGGACAGGGTAAAACTACCTCATAGGGGTTCTGAGATTGTAATCTTTGTGGAAGTAGGCTTCCTCGTCGGGCTTCCTCCATATCTTTCAGGAAACACTGCTTTAGATTTGAACAACCGACCTTACAGTTAGCTGTCCAATACTTAACCACTCTGCCACTGGTACTTCTTACAGGCTACTACTCTCCAGATCAAATTAATAGCCTTGTATATATCGCTTCATGTAGAAATCTGTATTCTTTTCTAGCCTCTCTCAGCTCTTAAGTTACCTGACCTCAGTTCTTCCTCTATTCTCAAACTTTAGTATGAATCAGAATCATACTCAATTATTTCCAACTCCAACAGATTCTGACTCAGGAATGCAATGGATCTATATTATGCACATATCTTATTTGGAAAAACTGCCCTAAACATATTTTGAAGTCCACCACTAAAATCCTTTCCTGGATCTTTGCTATTAAAATTTGAACTCTCAGTTTCACCCATCTTCTTCAACATGAATTTTAAGACTGTTGATATAACTTCATATACTCCCTGGAATCTAGCCAAACTTCTCTGAACCTCCAGGTTTATCAGGTTATTTGTGTGTCTTCTCTCCCTCCACACAGCTAGGAAAAAACCCTTTTCAAATTCTACTCCTCCTCCGAGGCTATTCCTAAACTGGTCCAGGCCTAATTAATCTCTTCTGTGTGCACTCCCTCAGTAATCTGTATTAACCTTCATTACAGAATATTGGCTGGTTTGGATCAGTGGCTCTTAAAAGTGTGGTCCAAATGCAGCAGTGGCATCACTTGAGAATTTAATAAAAGTGCAAATTCTCAGGCCTCACCTCAGAACTACCAAATCAAACAAAAATGTGATAGGGACCCAGCAGTGTTTTAACAAATCACATATTGTCTCCAGTGGTTTAGGTATCTCTTTCCTTAAATTGCATGCTCTTGGAGAACAGGGAGTCTGTTTTATCTCAATCCTCAGCCCCTACCCCCATTCAACCATGCTTCATATACACCCATGAATTCAGAGCACCTTAATAATCTTTGTAACAATGTGCTGCAGGTCCTACTTGCACAACAGACACCACTTTCTTTTTCTCTTTTTTAGTACAGTGTACTTTATGGTACATGACAAGATGGGCTCTCCAAGCCCCTCCCCTTTCTCTGGGGGACTTGATGAAAACTGTGTCAAGGATGTGAGATTCTCAGTGTGTGGCAGGATCGAGTTGGGGCAAGGACTCCTCAGCAGCTGAGGGTCTCTCTCTTCTAGTGCTATTGCTTGGGCTGGTGGTCCAAGGGCTCTTATTCTTTGGAGGCCATGTGGACTATCAGGTCGACCACCCAGTTGCTATAGCCAAATTCATTGTCATACCAGGAAATGAGTTTGACAAAAGTGCTTGTTCAGAGCAATGCCAGCCCCAGCATCAAAGGTGGAAGAGTGGGCGTCACTATTAAAGTGACAGGGGACAACCTGGTCTTCAGTGTATCCCAGGATGCCCTTGAGGGGCCTTTCTGATGCCTGCTTTACTACTTTCTTGATGTCATCAGATTTGGCAGCTTTCTCCAGATGGCAGGTCAGGTCCACAACTGACACATTGGGCTTGGGGACACAGAAAGCCATTCCACTAAGTTTCCCATTCAATTCAGGGATGACCTTGCCCATGGCCTTGGCAGCAGGGATGATGTTCTGGGCAGCTCCACGGCCATCACGCCACAGCTTTCCAGTCTTCTGGGTGGCAGTGATGGCATGAACTGTGGTCATGATTCCCTCTACAATCTACAATACCAAAGTTGTCATGGGCGACCTTGGCCAGGGGAGCCAAGCAGTTGGTGGTGCAGGAGGCATTGCTGACAATCTTGAGAGAATTGTCATACATGGTTCACGTCCATCACAAACATGGGGGCATTGGCAGAAGGAGCAGAGATGATTACCTGTTTGGCACCACCCTTCAAGTAGCCCTAGCTTTCTCCAAGATTGTAAAGACACCAGTGGACTCCACAATATATTTAGCACCAGCAACACCCCACTTGACGTTGGTGGGATCTCGCTCCTGGAATAGTGATGGCTTTCCCATTGATGACCAGCTTCTCATTCTCAGCCTGACAGTGCCGTTGAACTTGCCATGGGTGGAATCATATTGGAACATACAGACCATGTAGTTGAGGTCAGTGAAGCAATCATTGATGGCAACAACATTCATTTTGCCAGAGCTAAAAGCAGCCCTGGTGACCAGATGCCAAATGCGGCCAAATCCGTTTACTCCGACCTTCACCATTGTGTCTCAGGGATATGGCTGAGACTACACAAGAAGTGAGGGCAATCTGGATGGACAAGGAGCAGAGAGTCAACACTTCATTTTTTTCAGTGATTCTGCACTTTCACTAGATACATATATATGTTTTTTTTTCTTTCCATTTTAGCAGTCCTGCTGAGTGGACCTTTCTTTCTTTTTTGTCTGCCTCACTCCAAGCCAAGGACAGAGGTGATCTGTTGTTTGATGCAGATCTTAACAATGACTAGCAGAGATCTGTGATTGCTAGGTTGCTGGCTTAATCAATTCAGTATATGATTTCATGAAAAATTTTGCATAACAATTCTTGTCTGCCCATCTCTCCACAGCCTAATCCTCTGGCAGCTGGGATACCTGGGAGGTATGTGGAAAACACCTTCTCTCCAGAGTGATGAAAGAATGAGATGATGGCGAAAAAGAGACCAAAAAAAGACCTAGAAGCAACACTATATAATGAAATTTCATAGTAAAAATGTATAGTCTTTGGAGACAATATTACCCAACCTGCATGACTTTCAGAGATATGGATTATAAAGCACCAATTCCAACAGCTTTATGTATAGTGAGACCTACTACCCAGGCCACAGTGGGGAAAAGGCTAAGTATACTTATGTAGTCAAACATTATAAAAAAAAAAAGGAGAAAAAGTGTAACAATGAATGAATGGAAATCTAAAATCTCTGTGAATGTTCATTAAAATTAATAATTTTTTTAGAGGAAACTTAAAGTTGATCTCAGGCAGGGAGGTAGCAGCAGGTCAGGAGTCAGGGAATTCTCAAGAAACACTGATTTGGATCAGAAGGGATGAAAATGCCTTGATAAGACTTAAAAGCAAGGGTTAGTCTTTAAGGTCTTTTCAGAGAAGTTACACAAAATACTATGATATTTATTAGCAACCACAACTCTATCATTTTTACATCATTTTACACTAAAACAATTTCACAAAGAAGGCAGACTAATTCTACCCAAATACCATTAAGTTAAAATGCACTACGTAATAGTGCACAGAGAAAGTGCAGCTGGCAATTTAATACATGGAAACAAGGCTGAATCAGTAATGTTTGGAGCCCATTTGGTTTTCCGGAAGTTACACATTTTTCCCCTCCCATCTTTGGTCAGTCCTAGAGCAGTACCCACTACGAACAAACTGACAAATAGGAATTTAAAAGGATACAATATTAAAGCCCAAACAGGAGAATGCTAGTCAGTTTAAAATGAAATACTCAGCCCCCTTGTCTGTAAACAGTGATTTAGACCTGCTTTCCTAGTACCTATGGTGAGAATGGACTGGAAGAACGTACATCAGTCATCACCTGAAGAAAAGGAGCAAGATCAGATTTCCTTCATCTTTCTACCTCCAAGATAGTGGTGCTTGGTGAATTATATCCAAAGGGGAGGTAGTGCTCGTTACCAATGTGTATTCCTGCACATAAGCCAGTAGTCTTTCAAGGAGCAGCTCAGGAATATATTTACTTCTCAAAAGGGGGTACAGAAGAACGTTTACTTATTCTCAGATACTGGTTATTCTTTTCATCAATAGCTATGCTCCAAATAGCAAATACTACTGCATATGCTGTAAAAACAGAACTAACTCACCAGGTGAGGATGGGTTTCAGTTGTTAGCTTTACCTGTAATACCTTTAAAGGTATTAAAATCATCCTAAAATCAACTCAAGGTTTAACTCCTTTAGAAAAGGGTGCATTCAATAGTCTCATTTCTAGCTTTAGAGGCAGCTATATCTACCCTTGATTCAGGAAGAAAGAGGAGTCAGTATTCTTAAAAAGGTGCAAAGACCTGCTTCAAGTTCTCTTGGACCATTTGGATACCAATTTGACTAATTATCAAGCTGAATGTCTTCCAGGATCAACAACTCATGTTGTCACTTAAGGTCATAAAGAGAACAGTTACAGCAACCTGAGTTTTTAAAAATCCTTACACGGCATGGGAAGCTGGTATGGAACTGCATTAGGATGGATCTCTTTCATATAGGCTTAACATGCCCCTATATGGGCATACACAGGCAGAACCTTTTCAATAAATTAGTCTCCTCCATTTCTTTCTAACATGGTAGATTTTGGGGAAACAGACTTTGCAGTCATTTGCCAGCCACCAAAGCAGGAACACTTTTAATCCCTTCTCCTGACATAGAAGACTATCTCTATTGGGAGAGGGACTTGTATGGAGAGGGCCAGCACATTTGTATCAAAAAGCATCCTTGATATTCTTTAGCTGGCGCACAGCCAGGTCTACAGGGAGGCTGAACTTGAGGTTGCTGAGGCGACTGAGCAGGTTGAGGGCGCTTTCAAAGCCTGTGTGTGCCATGTAGCTCCAGGGATGGTAGTGAGACTCAATGAGTGACCCTGACTTGCAGATAAGGTTTACCCAAGACACCAGACGCTGCTCATTCAGAGCCATGCACACCAAGGCCTTTAGCTCAGAGTCTGCACTGCGCTTGAAAGGGTCATGCTCCGTCAGCACCACATGGATGGCTGTCAGTAGGCTTTGTTTGGGGGTCACAACGCTGCTCCCCATCACAGGCAGGGCGAAAGACTGAGAGAGCTTCCGGGCTGGAGATTCCACATAAGCTTGGCCGTTCTTAGCATGGTAGTACTTTACAAAGAGCTCCCATGGGTGCATGGCCTCAGGGGCCGAGGAGAAGGCGGGCAGCAAACAAGCAATGGGGGCCATGACAAGGCTCATGCCGGGGGAGGAGGCGTACAGCCCATGGGCCAGCAGGTCTCTCACGGCCACTGTCAGTTCCTTTCGCACAGCCACAGTCAGCTCATCCTTGCCCCCCAGAGAGATGTCATGGAGATTGGCAGAGGTGATGACATTGTCATGTGGCTGATGTCTCAAGGCCAACTGTTTCACTCGGTCTACTGATATCTCCAGCTTCTTTAATAAAGGAGAGTAGTCCTTGTCGGCCTGGCCCTTCTGCCATAGGGTGTGTGGAATCTGGCCCGTTGCACAACCAAACTGGCTAACAGCAAAGATCTGGAGCACAGCCAGGGCTCGCCGCATCAGGTGGAGCCCCATTTCCCGAACTCTCGTCACATCCTCTGGCTTTGCTGTTAAAAAATGGATGACTTGTTAGTGAGAGGTCCTAGCATACAGAGACACATCCAACAAGTCACATGATGTAATTAAGTCTTGTTTCAGAGCTATAGCATGAGCCCATACACCCAAGAGCCACCAGAACTGTAGGTGGATTTATCTTTCATTGTTAGTAACAGCTTTACTGGTATACAATTCTTATACTAAACAATGCAGCCCTGTAAAAATACTTTTCTTTGTGTGTGTTTACATGCAGAGTTTGCAATAGACAGCTGGATATTTTCATCACCTCCGAAAGAAACCTTGTATTACCAGCAGTCCTTCCCAGCCACTCAAACCCCTAATTCTAGGCGACCACTAAATTACTTTCTTCTTCTATGGATTTCCTGATGCTGGAAGCTGTACATACCTTTGCTATTTCCTGGAGGGAGTCTGCTGCTTCCTGTTCTAGCGGAGCCACTTCCGGTCTTTCCATTGGCCTTGCACTCACAGTGTCCATCTCCTGTCTGCATGGGGCTTCCCAATTCATCTGTGATCAATAGTTACAAAGAGAAGACACTTAGTAGCACTTTATGGCAAAATTTTCAAGGAAAAAGAATATGTAGTAGTGCTTATCCATGTGGTAACAGTTTTACAAATGCAGTTATATTTCTCAGCAACAGTGACTAGTTCAGTAAATATTTGCTAAGTGAATGAAGAATGAATCATCACTTTATGGATGGGGAGAACAAGACCAACAAGCTCAGTTACTTGCTCAAGGCCACAAAGTGGCAGGTGGCAGAGATAGGATTTTAACTCCAACTGGTTCTAAAACCTGTACTTTCCCCCCGTTTCACTAAGTGATCAAGTTCTTAAAACTTTATATCAAGTACTGCACTTGTAGTATTAGTACTTGGAATAAATAGAATTTACTATTAAGTTCACCCTTCTCTCCACATTTCTTCCTCTGACCTTGGATAAAGCTGATGAACATTTCGAGGTCTCGGATCTGAGTCTTCAGTTGCTCAACCAACTGTTCTTTCACTCGGGCTGGGTTGACAATCTGAGCCACAGCGGCATCGACACGCTGACAGAGCTCTTCAGTAGAAAGTGAACTAAGGTCCTCATTCAGGTTCATGTCCAGTTTCTTTATCAACTCATCTATGATCACCTATAAGACCACAGACATCAAGCATACTCTCTAATGTTTTCCAAGGGAAAGGGTTAAGGAGAAAGAGAATTCTAACTAGTAAACCTTCTACTTTGAAATTGAAATTAAGTGAGCTCTAGTGGCCTAGTGCAAAAAGCTGTACTGCAATCCCAGATGTTTGTGATTCAAATCCACCAGATGCATTGGGGGAGAAGGAGGAACAATCTCCTCCTGTACTAGTCAAATCTGATTTGATGGTACACAGACACACAAATAATAAAAATAAAATAAAATTGACAACCTAGAAATGGACCCAGTGTCTATGACCAACTCATATTTAAAAAAAAACCTAACAACATCACAATTTGTGACAGACTCAATTTTATTTTCTGCTTCTCATAAATTTTTCAAGAGGCCAGTCATTTTCACTCAGAACAAAGTAAATATTTAGAATATCAGAGACTAAATACTGATTTCTCTTAGCTTTTAGTTCTTTTCTATTTTTCTTGCCTCATTCTAAGCAACCAAAAAAAAATTTTTTTTTCTACCTAATGACAAGGTGCACTATAGCTACAAAACTCCCAAAAAAACAAAACAAAACCCAAAAATCTCCCACAAAACACACAATTAAAGACAGTAATAGAATCATTTGGAAACTTGGGTGTAAGCCATATCACAGGCATAGAGATGGCATATAGAGGAAGCTGTAGCTGTATCTTTTCAACAAATTTGCTGGTTTACCCAAATGCTGCTTAATAGGGCATTTACACAAATATGGCAACAAATAGTGAATAGGGAAAAAAAAATCAATATTGTAAGATTTGATCAAATAGAACTAATTAACTAGTAAAAGAAGCAAGGTATTATTATCATTATTATTAATAAGTCCAAAAAAGGAAAGGCTCTATCATCATTATTGTAAATTTTGGAACCTGTGCTTTCCATGTGTGAATAAAAATATGTTGTTATATGCCATGGAGTTGGAACCAACTCATAGTGGACCTTGCAGCTGGTTTTCAGAAACTCTAAGTCACATGGGAGGAAACTGCCTCCTATCTTTTTCCTGAATAAAAAATGTTGTTGTTGATTGCCTTCAAGTCAAGAACGACTCATAGCGACCCCATAAACAAAAGGCTTGAAGCCCCTTTACAACCACTGACATTTATAAAAGTTCATAGCTTTCGGAAGCATGTTATTTAGGAAGTGGATGCCATTCCTGCTTCCAAGAATAAAGAATACTCTCACATAATATAATATTTTTCTCTGATTTATGCCAGCTCAAGAATTCTCAGTAAGACGTAGGCAAAATGAGCTGGGAGAGAATGTTCTCTGAGAGTGGGAAAGGACAAGTTAACCTCAGGCAGTGATGGAGAAGCCTTTGAGGTCTGCTCACCCGCTGTCTTTCCAAGACCATGGACTGCGGTAGGGAATCATAATTGCCCTCTTGGTAGGCAAAAGTCTCCAGGTCATCTAGCTGGGTCTTGAGCTGCAGTATCAGTTCTCTCTGCTTCTCCCTTTGGGCTTCCAGACGCTCCCGTTTCTCCTGTTCACTCTAAGAAAACAAAGCACTTAGGTCTATATTCAGATGTTATGAACACTCTCAAGATAATAACAAGAAGAAAAATGTCTCCAAATAAAAAAGATTTTAAGGCATGCTAAAAAAAATAACTATTTCATCTTGGGCAATTGATTAAATGAGCATTTCTGCTAAGTATCTGTATCCACCTGGAAATAGGGCATGAATATAATGGAGCCTTCTGTTAAGACTGCTTTTTCTCAAAGGCCTCGTTAGGGTGAGAGAATTCATCTTAGCCAAGACAGCCTCCTAGGAATTAAATCTGCCATCCTCCCCTGCCAATTATCATCACACAGAATTCCTGAATACTGTATGCAGCCCAGGTCTGCAGGAGATCCTGAGGATAAGGATGTAGACAAAGGCTTCATAATTCATAAGCAGTTTCTTAAGGTTCAAGCACCTCCTCCACAAGTGCTTGAGGCACTGAGAAAAATCAAGATGCTTAGTAAAGGAAGCAGGAAGGTAATAATGCTTCAAAAACGGGGGCAGGGGGACCCTGAGCAGTGAGTCTAATTATTGTTAGTTATCAGGCAGTTTATTCTTTTAAATTATTCAAACTCTCCAGGGTGATATAATCTTGCAGATGTTATTACCAAGTACTGAGTATTCCTAATCTTTCTTGAGTAGCAAAACCAAAAGGAAGCAAAACCAGCTAATTATCTGTAGGCCTAAGGGTGTCATTTAAACTAGAAACCAATACACTGGTAAGATATTAAGTACAGCCTTAAAATGGTACTTACCAAACCCTCCAGAAAGCAGGCATGAGGGGGAACAAATGAGAAACAACATATAAGCTTTTGGTTCCAGGTATTTTAAAAGCAATTCTCTCGCTTTGGCTTTAACATCAAAGCAAGCCTTTTCTCAGGGTGCTTCCCCTGCAATCCTTTGTATATATTGCTTTCCCCTAGAATCTTCTCTCCATCCCTCACTTCAGAAGGTCTAGCCATCCTTTAGGGGAAGGCTGTCCTGGTTTCTGGAGGCAAACTAATCATTTCCTCTTCTGTACACATACTGTACTGTAATTATTTGTTCAGGATCCTGTGTCCCCTTGTCTATGAAGTCCTTAAGGACAAGAATATTGACTTTGTATCCTAATGCCCAGTGTAGTGCCTGGCACAGAGCAAGCGGTCAATGCCCATTTGTTGTATGTTACAGAACCGAATGACAAAAACCAACAATAAACTTGGACTGAAGGAAGTTATCAAACCACCTCCAAGAGAGCTGGGACCCTTTTGTTTTCATTTTCATTGTAGCCTAGCTTTATGAAGCATGGGATAAAGAAACTAGCCATAAATGCGGATCCTGTATACATAACTATGTCTGAACGCTGTCCCTTGTCACGGTAGGTACCGTATGCTATGTGCTGGTGTGCAGGCAAACACATTTTTAACAGGAAAGAACAATGACCACTGGTGTAAGGCAGGAAATGATAGAACTAATTCCTAGCATTATGTAAAATAACAGAAGCCTAATACTGGTTTTTAAATTAGAAAACCTGGAAGTGGTAAATGTAAAGACGTCTCCATCTGGGCACTAACTGTTCATGTGTTGATGTATATGCAAGAGGTGCTAATTACATGGGTCAAGAACACCATATTTTTTTTAAAAAAACAAACAACCCACAAAACACTGCTTCCCAAATTGAAAATGAACAGCAGAGAAGATAAGAGTGCTTTTGTTGTTGACCCTCCTTAACAAAGGAACGGCACAGTAGTTCTTTCTAGTCCTTAAAAGTCTGGTAACTTGTGCAAGAAACTGTGAGAAGGTGGAGACAAGGGTGGTGGAATAATAAAACTGGACAGGAAGCAGTTCAGATTAAAATAAACACGTCGGTGTCCGCTACTGCTGAATCAACTGTCTTGGTTAAAATCAATCTAAGTAGGGAGAAAGTCACACGTAGATGTAACTTAAATAAAAAAGAAGAAAAAAGGAGGTGGTGTGTCTCTTTAACACCGAGACAAACTATCCCTACTTCCAGGACTCAAGGCCTGTAAGGGAACTTTCCTTCAGCCTGGTATAAACTAAACAGAATCATTATTTCTCAGTGTCAGGCACAGCCAAAACTTCATTCAGAATACCTAGTTGCCAAGCAGGTATGGAGTAGGGTTAAAAATTCCAGTATCAGGAAATCACACAATCAGGAGTTGTGTTTCTTTCAGTTATTAACTGATCTTGTTCTCATTCTGACATGAGATTCGAAAAGTAAAGATTTTCTCTAGATTTCAGGAAAGCTAGGACATTAAGTCCATGGATTCTAACTCACCCGGCTTTTTCTATTCCAGGGCTTCCATGAATTTTTTTTTATTTTTTTTACTTTATTACTTTTGTTTCAGGGCTTCCATGAATTCTAACTCACTCGGCTTTTTCTATTCTAGGACCACCATGGATTCTAACTCACCCGGCTTTTTTCTATTCCAGGGCTTTCCCCCAACAGCTCAATTTCCCAGCCTTATTAGCAAGGGCCCAGGGCTCGGGGATTCTACTAGGTGAGGATACCACTCCTCACATCACAAACCTGCATGTCTCTCCCACCCTCCATCCGGCCCTGCACATCCATTTCGGTCTGCTTCTGGGAGGCATAACTGCTCTGTCATGAAGTTCTATTGGCGTGGCGCTAGGGAGTTACACTATCAAGCCAAAGGCTTGCATCTCTGGAAGTTCAAATCCATCAGCGGCTCCTCAGGTGAAAGATACGACCCATAACAACCCTATGGGAGGATCTCTTCCTCCCTTGAGATGCACTGCTTCGGAAACCTAAAGAGTCAGCTATGAGCTGGTTCTTTCTCAAGGAGTTTGACTTTTTTGACCATCCATTCCTCGCCCTCCATTGCCATTATCTCTCAGGGTGAGGCTCCAGCCCCACTCACATGGTACTCGCCCCACAACCGTGATCGGTCACCCCGCAGCCCGTCGTCCTCGTCGCCGGCAGGGTCCTCGGGGTCCCCGTAACCCAGGACGTGAGGGCAGCCGCGGAAGGCGAAGTCCTCGAGTTCGCGCAAGAGGCGCTGCTGCTCGGCGGGCGCCCCGCGCACCACCTGGCGCAGACGGAACTGCACCTGCGCGAAGTGTGAGGACAGCGCGAGCAGAGCCGAGTCCAGCCGCCGCCGCTCCGCCCGCAGCCGCCGCACTGTCCGGCCGGGCGAGTCTGGCGGAGAAGACGGAGCCAACCCAGGCTCCTCCGCCGACGCCTCTTCCGAGAACGCAGCTGCTCCAGTCCCAGCCTCCGCCACCGCTCCCACTGGAGCCCAGCGCACCGTCTCGCACGGTGGCAGCGGCTCCTCTTCTTCCTCCTCTTCGTCCTTTGCTTTTTGCCCCACGAGTGCCACCTCCGTTACCGGTTCCGCAGCCGCTTCCACAGCCGCCATCTTTCCGGAAACTCCGTCGCACGTCAGCCGCTCCCCCTGCTGCCATAGCAACGCGGGGTGACCGGGAGGGGAGGTGGGCGGGGCTTACGGTTCTGCTGGGTTTATGAGCAGGTCTTTCCTAAAGATTTGATTCTGTCCCTTAAGGGTTGTTTTGTTTGTCTGTCTAATAACGAGATGGAGTAACACAGTGACTGTAACAATGCACTCAAATATATTAGATGGTGAAGATGGCACAGGACAGGGCAGGGAGCAGATCTGCCATTCACAGTTTTTATGGATCTAGTCGATTAGAGGGACACTTAACGTTGTGAATTAGACACTGAGCATGATAAATACTGGAAAAAGATGAATGAGATTAAGGAGACGTTCATTCTAGAGGATTAATGGCTCTCCTCAGGCACTAGCATAGTCTCTAGCTTACTTCTCGAGTACGGGAGGGGAGGAATCCATGGTGGTCCTCACCTGTACTTTCCCTGAGATCTCTGAGATGTGAATGACTGCAGAGACTATTCTCCCTCAGTCTCTCTTTGTATTGCTGCGGCTCCCTTGGTTATGGGGCCCTGCACCCGCTCCCCCTACCCCACCTTTCCCTCTCCCATATAAGGAGAGGCAGCTGTTGGGGGCGTCCCCAGGATCTAAAGATAGCAGTCCCTGCCTGGGACTTCAAATCCCACAGGCCCATTGGCAGGAGCCATCATGGCACGGTGAGTTTCTCCAGCCTCGAGACTCCTTCTCGCCTTTCCCCCTGGATATTACACACACACACACACACACACACACACACACACGCGCGCGCGCTTCTTTTGGGAGCTTCAGGTTCCGAGGTTCCAAGGGTGCCTCAAACCCTCAGGTTTCTGTAACTTTAGGAAGAGAAATGTGACTTGGGTGACCTCCCTGCCACTCCACCTCTCTTGCTTTTGATTCTCCTTTTCCCACTTTTGTCAAACCCTCAGTGCGATGGAGTCAATTGCTGAACTGAACCTCTGACGGGTTTTCAGAGGCTGTAAATTGCTGAACTTTCTCCTGTAGAGCAGTTGTTGGATTCCACCCACCTGAGAGACAGAACTACTTATTCCCTACCAACTAGGCCACGAAAGCTCCCTTCACTTTCATCTCTCCTCTTCAATCCTTTTGACCGTTGTCTGTCTCATGTAGCTCCTCCTTGGTGTCGAACGTCCCTCTATTTTTCTCTCTTCCCACCTTTCCCAAATGCCTCTCGGTTTGTTTTCTTCTCTCCCATTAGTATGAAGCCCCTCTTCCACTCTTCTGCAGGCAGCATGCCAGGACCCTGTGGTATGACAGACCCAAATATGTGTTTATGGAGTTTTGCGTTGAGGACAACACGGATGCCCATGTACTCATCGAAGACCACCGCATTGTGTTCAGGTAATGGTGTCCCCTTTCCAGAGGATCAGGCTGCCTAGGAACCGTTCTCTTCCCTAAGGCCTTCAGCCTCCTGTACTTCTCCTTAGCTGCAAGAATGCCGATGGAGTGGAGCTATACAATGAGATTGAGTTCTATGCCAAGGTGAACTCCAAGGTAAACATGGACTGGGACAGTAAAGACTGAATGGAAAGGTTGCCCAGGGAAACAGATTTGTTCTAAACCGAGGTACTCTGTCTGGCAGGATTCTCAGGACAAACGCTCCAGTCGATCCATTACTTGTTTTGTAAGAAAGTGGAAGGAAAATGTGGCCTGGCCACGGCTCACCAAGGAGGATGTCAAGGTGGGTACCTGCACTGCTTCTTCTCCTGTGCTTGCTAATCCATGTGCCCAGGGACCCAAATTAGATCAAGAAATTAACCTTGCCTCCCTTCCCAATAAAGTTCAATCATTCACCTAGCCCTCCCAATTTGACCTCCCATTGTTCATGCATATCTATTTTAGTTTTTAATCATTGTTGAGAATATATACAGCAAAATACCAATTCAACAGTTTCTATGTGTACAGTTTAAATTTTTTTTTTTCAAATTATTTGTGTGTGTGTGTGTGTGTACCATCAAATCAGATCTGACTGGTACAGGAGGAGATTGTCCCTCCTTCTCCAGCAGAGCATCTGGTGTATTTATATGTGTACAGTTTAATGACACTGATTATAATCTTCAAGTTGTCAGTCACTCATTCTCACAATTTATGAGTTGCTCTATCCCTATGGATTGTCAAATGTTCTATCTAACCTCTTGAGGTGCTGTTGTCAATTTGATCCCACATGGATAGATCTTAAAAAAGTATACTTAAGGTGAGTTCTGGTGGTCTAGTGGTAGGAAACTGCACTGCAATCCCAGAGGTGCGTGGATCCAATTTGACGGTACACACATAAAAAGAATAAATAAATTAAAAAAAATTATCTTTAAAAAAAAAAGTATACTTAAGACAGAAATTGTTTACTAGTTAAGTTAAACTATTATTTGCTTTTAAGACTTCTAGGAATATTTTTTTGTTTAAGGACAATAGTTTTTGGAGTCCATCCAGCCTTTAAGCATACGGAAAGTCTAGATTCTGTCGGAATTTGAAATCCTATTTCACATTTCCCCATTTTGTCAGGATCCTTCTGTCGCCACTTCCTCAGTACTCTTGAATCTATTGCTTGGTCTCTCCTAGTTCAGGCCTCATCTATCACTTGATGAAGTTGTTGTTGTTGTTGTTATGTGCCATCGAGTCGTTTCTGACTCATAGCGACCCTATGCACAACAGCTCTAAACCCTGCTCTATCCTGCGCCAACCGCACCGCCTCAGACACACCCATCCCGATTACCCCAGTCACCGAATCAATCCATCTCATAGAGGGTCTTCCCCTCCTACGCTGTCCCTCCACCCTCCCAAGCATGATGTCCCTCTCCAAGGACCCGTCCCTCCTGGCAACATGTCCAAAGTATGTCAGACAAAGCCCCAGAATCCTTGCCTCCAAGGAGCAGCTTGGTTTAATCCTCTCCAAGATGAATGTTTGTTTTCCTGGCAGTCCATGGTACATTCAGTACCCTTCTCCAGCACCACAGCTCAAAAGCATCCACTCTCCTTCTGTCCTCTCTAGTCATTGTCCAACTCTCTGATGCATAACAAGCGATTGCAAATACCATGACCTGTATCAAGTGCACCTTAGTCTCCAGAGAGACACTGTTGCTCCTGAGTACCTTTGAGAGGTCCCTAACAGCAGACTTTCCCATCGCGATAGGCTTTTTGATTTCCTGACTGCTGGTGCCAAGAGTGTTGACTGTGGAGCCGAGCAAAGTGAAGCTGTGAACACTCTCAATGTCTTTGTCATCCATCCTGACGCTGCCAATTGGTCCAGTGGCGAGAATCTTTGTCTTCTTGACGTTGAGCCTTAGTCCATACTGAAGGCTGCAGTCCTTGACCCTTCGCAGCAAGTGCATGAGGTCCTCCTCAGTTTCAGCAAGCAGGGTTGTGTCATCTGCATAACGGAGATTGTTAATAGATCTTCCACCAATCCTGATGCCACAATTCTCCTCATAGAGCCCAGCCTCTCGGATAATCTGCTCTGCATACATGTTGAAAAGGTATGGAGACAGGATGCATCCCTGGCGTACACCCTTCCCTATTTTGAACCATGCAGTGTTACCCTGCTCTGTTCTGACTACTGCCTCTTGGTCCAAGTATAGGTTTCGTATTAGCACAGTTAAATGTTCTGGGATTCCCATTCTTCTCAGAGTCAGCCACAGTTTGTTATGATCCACACAGTCAAATGCCTTTGCATAATCAATAAAACACAGATAGACATTCTTCTGGTATTCCCTGCTTTCAGCCAAGATCCATCTAACATCAGCAACGATATCCCTAGTACCACGATCCCTTCTAAACGCAGCCTGGACTTCCGGCAGTTCTCTGCTGATGTGCTGTTCTAATCGTTTTTGGATGATCTTCAGCAGAATCTTGCTTGCATGTGAAATCAATGACACTGTTCTGTAGTTTCCACACTCAGTTGGGTCACCTTTCTTTGGAATGGGAACAAATATAGATCTCTTCCAGTCAGTTTTTTTTTTTACTAAAAAATTGATGAAGTACATTGCATATTTTTAGCCCCACTTTTAACAGATTACCTGCTAACCCCCCAGCATGGTCTGTCTAAAATGAACATATGCCTGTCACTTTTCCACTTAAGACCCTCCAGAGACATTTTCCACTCTAAAAGTTGAAAACTGGTTGAAAGGTTGAAGTCATCCTCCAGAGACTTCTTCCACTCCAAAGGCTGAAAGGAGGGTATTTGCTACCTGGATGGCGAGTTTGCTACCTGGATGGCGAGTTTGCTTTAGCAGTTTTCACAATATTAAGAATAATTGTGGTACTACACCAAAGTAAAACCAGCACAGTACAACAAATTGTTACATAAATGGTGGTGATGATAAATATGTTATAAAAATGCATATCCTTGCTTTACTCCTTCATCTCTGGGAAAATAATTCAGTTTTTCACCATTGCATATGAAATTAGCTTAAGATTTCAGTTGATATCTACAGTTAAATTAAGTAAATTATTTTCTTTTCCTTTTGTTAAAGTTTTTATTATGAATAAATCTTGAATTTTATAAAAAAGTAATTGTGTGCAACAATGTATAAATGGAAATCCAAAGTCTCTGTAAACTTTCATCAAAATTAATAAAAAAATACTTTGTTAAAAAAAAGTTGGGCTTTCTACGAAGATGGCGCGAAAGCGAAGAAGGAAGCCCCTGCCCCTCCCAAAACTGAAGCCAAAGCAAAGGCATTGAAGGCCAAGAAGGCAGTCCTGAACCCAAATACCCCCGGAAGAGCGCCCCCAGGAGAAACAAGCTTGACCACTATGCCATCATCAAATTTCCCCTGACCCCTGAGTCAGCTATGAAGAAGATAGAAGATAACAACACACTTGTGTTCATTGTGGATGTCAAGGCCAATAAGCACCAAATTAAACAAGCTGTAAAGAAGCTCTATGACATTGGTGTGGCTAAGGTCAACACTTTGATTAGGCCTGATGGAGAGAAGAAGGCCTATGCTCGACTTGCTCCTGATTATGATGCTTTGGATGTTGCCAACAAAATTGGGATCATCTAAACTGAGTCCAGCGGGCTAATTCTAAATGTAATAAATTTTTCTCACCATAAAAAAAAAAAGTTGGTCATGAAAAAAACCTATTATGGAGCACAGCTGTAGCATATTCACATGGGGTCAAGGGAGTCAGAGAAGCCTCATTGTCTATTGCAAGGTGGTAAAACAACTAGTCTTTTATTAACCAGAAAGATGTGAATTATTATCTCATAGCAAAATTTGACTTGCTTAAGTGTCTGAGAAGCTTGTGTCTCAGGGTGTGAGATACGTTTTATGCATGTTTTCAAGTGACTAAAACATCCATTATCATAAATTGCTGTTCCCATAGGCACTTTGACTCTATTTACAACTTGCTAAAAGATTTCCTCCATAGGTTGTAGAACAAGCGTGCATTGTGTAAGACAGCTTGCATTTTGTAAGAGGAACAAATGAAAAGATAAGGATATGCAGAATGGCTATCTCATGATTCAGAGATCTTACTCATTTGTATTACTTGAGAATGACGTTCATGAATAGCTATGAAAAAAAAATTGTGATTGGTTATTGAAATTTAAACATGTAGCGATTCCCACGGAGGTAGTCTTTAAACTTTAAGTAAAAAATATTTTTTAAAATAAACAAACTAAATTAATTAAAAAAAAAGAAAACAGAAAAAAAAGCTGAACTGCCAAAAAAAATATTTTTTATGTCTTCTTAAAACCAAACAATAGTGTAACTTAACTGGTGAATATGTCTGCCTTGAGCATTATGCTCTCTTAGGAGCGATATGGGATCAAATTGACAACAGTCACTGAAAAGATAGGACTCTTAAGGGGTTGTGAGTTTATGTTAATGAAAGAGGAACAATTGTACATGTAGAAACTGTTGGTTTAGTGTATGCTTTGCTGTGCATAGTCTCAAAACCAACAAAAGAGATACAATTTAGAGGAGCAAAATGTGAAGATTCCCTTAAAAATCTGTTATCAGTTTCTCATGATAAATGAGCAAACATGGCCATGTTGATCAAAATTCCCAAATGCCTAGAGTTAAAGCTTTAAATGGGGCATGTGCTTTACTTTATTATTTTTCTTAATATTTTCCCAATTCTTAGGTGTCTGAGCTTGTGATTTCCTGCTCTTAAAATCTAAATCCTTAGCATAGCACACAGGGCCTCTCTACCTGGGTAGCCCTCACTTCTGCAGCCTTATATCCTATGCCTCTCTGCCTCCAACTTTACATTCCAATATCAGCAAACTGCCTGAAGCTCTTGTACACACTAGGCTGTTCTCACCTCTGTGCCTTTGCTCTGGCTGTGCCTTCTTTCTGAAAAACCTCCATCACTACTCCGTTTGCTCACCTAACTCAGATCATTCTTCAAGTCCAGATTCCTCCAAGAAGCCTGGGTTCCGTAATTTCATTAAACCATCTACATAGCCTATCACTATGCTTCCCCATGGTATCATAAATTATTTGTTTACATCTTTCTCCTCTACTTCCCCATGTCTGGGATAGCATATTGAAACGTTTTATACTCCCAATGCCAAACTTGGAATCTGGTACATAGTATATGTTCAAAATAACTGTCTACTAATTAAATAGATGAGTGACTTATTTTCATGCCTAAAGGAAAAGGGACTTTGGAACAGGGATCATGAAGGGTTTTTTCTGACTCCAAGGAATGCAGCTTATCTGTCTTTCATTTGAATCCCAGCCTCAGCAATGAGTGTAATATAGTTGTAATACATTTTATCTCTTTAGTTGATTTGTAAGTTCTTGGAAGGCAGCATTTCTGTGGTGTTTCTTCCTCCACAATGTCTGACATTGTGCTAGGCCCTTAGTTGTAGTAAATCTTTGTGGATGATGATGGTGACAGGGAAGCCTGGAGTGGGGCTAGCTAATTAAAGGAGTGCTGTTGGGAGAACTGTTTGCTCACTGACCCTTTCTTGCTCTCTCCTCACTTCTGCTGCTGCCCTGTGACTCTGTGTGCTTCCTCTTTCAGCTAGTTTGGCTGTCTGTGGACTTTGATAACTGGAGAGACTGGGAAGGGGATGAAGAGATGGAGCTGGCTCAGGTGGAACATTATGCGGAGGTGAGGGAGAAAGCATCTGCCATGTCTTGCCCTTCTTGATCATTCTCCTTGTCTCTCTGCACATTTTGTAGGCAACTGCCACCATGATCAGGCAGAAGTACATGAGCTCTTCACACAGGCTAATCAGTCGGTGTTGGTACTATTTTTTAAAATTATTATTATTATTATTATTATTATTATTATTATTATGTGTGTGTGTGTGTACCATCAAATCAGATCTGACTGGTACAGGAGGAGATTGCCCCTCCTTTTCCAGAAGAGTATCTGGTCGATTCGAACCGCGTACCTCTGGTGTTGCAGTGCAGCTTCTTGCCACTAGGCCACCAGAGCTCCCTTGGTAGTATTTTTTTAAAAAATTTTAAAAAGATATTTATTAATTCACCCAAACTAACCATGCCATTATATATATACACACACACACATAAATAAATGATACATATGTATTTTCAAAACCAAAGAAAATTTATTGAGGAGAATTGCCTTCTTTTAAATTGTACATCTCTTGATTATCTACCTTAATGGAAGATAGCTGACTTGGCTTATCAGCTTCTGCATACAGTATTTTGATAGGCTGTTTAGGTTGAATTTGAAGAAAATCCCATTTTACACAGTCTTGTAGCTGGTAAATAAATTTTAATAACTTTCACATGTTGAGAATTTCGTTCTTTGATAAATAGATTGAAATTCAACTTAAGGTAGTTGTTTTTTTTTATTATTTTTTTTTTTTTATGTGAGTGTACCGTCAAATCAGATCTGACTGGTACAGGAGGAGATTGTCCCTCCTTTTCCCGGCAGAGCATCTGGTGGATTTGAACCGTGAGCCTCTGGGATTGTAGTTGCAGCTTCTTGCCACTAGGCCATCAGAGCTCCCCCAACTTAAGGTAGTTTTTAAAGAATAATAGCAACATAGAATCTGGAATCTTATCAATAAATCATGCATATACATTTATATTAAAACCCAGTAATTAAGTGTACTTTAATGATTCTTCTACCCATTGGCAACTTGAAAAAAAAATTCCTTTGGAATAGTGTAGAATGTTGTAGATTTAAAAAAATATCAGATTCATTAATTGTGTGCTGATATCCTTTATATATTTTTTCCAGTAGTGAAATAGTATGAGCAGATTCACTTACTGCTCACAGAGTTATATATCCTGTGTTCTGAAAAAGTTTGGGAAAATTTTCCACTTTTCTATAACTCATGTTCTTGTTTCTATTTTCTTTGTGTTAATTCCTCCCCAGACACATACTCCTAGTTAACAGACCATTTTGTGGGAAACTCAAGCAGTATAAAATTAAAATAAAATAATTAGTTACCAATAAAGAATGCCTTGTCATATGTTCTTTGTCTTCATAATTTCAGTTATTATTCAAATTGCCAAACATTTAAGAATCTACATGCACTAGTAGAGTGTGCTCTCTGTGTGTGTATGTGCAACTTTCCAATTTCCTTTAGAAAAGTGGATTGATTTACTTTGCACCAATTAGTTCCAGAGTGTTTCAGCATTTTAAAAAAAGGGGGCAGTTGTTTTGGTGGCTCTGGCTAGGAAGGTTCTCCTTTGACCTACCATTTTCAGGTTTCTCTTTCCTCACCCCATTCTCTCTTATGATGATTTTTCTCTTCCAACCAGCTTTTGAAGAAGGTCAGCACCAAAGGACCTCCCCCTGCCATGGATGACCTGGATGTAAGTGATGCTTGCTTTTTGATCCTTCAGTTAGCTCCTTTGTAGCCTTCAAAATAGATGCCTCTCTCAGTTCCTGGCATAAAATAATTGCCAGAGGGTGTTAATGAAATCTGAATTTGATGGTAGAGATTGAATGTTCTTCTCCAAGCTTTAGATGATGCCAGCAAGATCTTCCTCCTCCCGGCCTTCTCTCCATTTTTCCACATTATATACCAAAGCATTTGTTGAAATTCTGAAACTAAGTGATGCATGATATAGTGCTATTTGTTGAATGGCTTACTTTGCTTTTAAAGTTTAAATCTTTCTGCATTAGCTTCCCAAAAGTTAGGAGGAAGTGGTGAGCAGTGTTTGTGACCACAAAGGTTCACTGCAGAGTTTAAAATGCTTCACATGTGTTTGTCTTTTTTCATTTCCCTAGGATGACTCCGACAGTGCTGATCCAAGAGGTAATTCAGTTCCTGCGACAGCATAAAGTTGGGGAAGAGATTGTGGTTATCTTCTGATCATTTGGAAAAGGCTTGGCCTGTCCACCAGGGTCTTCTAAGATCTCTGGACTTTTGGGGGGCTCTTTATTAAGAACTTTATTTCTTCCCTTTAGGTACTTGACCATGGCTGCTGTGTTAGATTGTAGGACAGGGAAGTATACTGATGGGGTTTCAGACTTCCCAACAACTGGCTCATAATCTCTGTCTGGGCAACTCTTCATCAACCTCTGGTGTATGTGAATACATGTGTGTATGTGGTGGAGTGAAAGGCAAAGAGGAATCATATGGATGATAATAAATCTCTAGAAACTGTTACTTGTCTTTTTCCTTCTTGTGCCTCCTCCTGGAGTTGAGCCTTCCCCACCCCATAGAGTTTCTCCCAAAGGAAGGGGTGAGATTGATTGTAAGAGATCCTGGGCCTTGATATTGAATCAAGAAGAAGAAAGATGTTGAAAACAAGCTTATGACCAATCTGGGGGATTACCCCATGTCTAGATTCGTGTGCCAATTTCTCAGAGCAGAAACTAATTTTCTCTTACATGTTGACTACCTAGGACCAGTTAGAATCTTTATCTCAACTTATACATGCCAGAAATGGCTTCATGCTTTAAAAAGTAGGTATGTCTGTAGTTTATACCTGTTTGTTTGCCCCTCCATTTGACAACCACCCCATCCACCCAAAAATGGGGTAGGGTTTTTTTTTTTTAAGTTTAGTGTTGTATTTTCTGTTACTTCCTATGTATCTGAAAGTTGTACAGTGAACAAGGATGACAGAAGAGTTGAAGCCTTTGAGTTGTGGTGTTGGAGAAAAACATTGACTATCCATCCCCACTATTAAAAGAACAAACAAGTCCGTGTTGGAGAAAGTGCAACCGAAGTGCTCCTTAGAGACAAGGATAGTGAAATTCACTGCACGTATTTTGGGCATTTTGTCAGTCTTTGGGAAAAAGACATCCTGGTAGGAATGGTGGAAGGTCAAAGAAAGAAAGGAAGATCCTTAACAAGATGGATTGACAGTGACTGTACCAAAGGGCTTGAGCATATCAGAGATCATGTGGATGGTGCAGGAAAGAGCAAGGATCTGATCTGTTGTTCATAGAGTTGCTGTGAGTCATAGGTGACTTGGTGGCACCTAACAACAATAACAACGACATTGAAGGACAGTTATGTGTTTTTGTTTCTTTTTTAAATTATTTTTGTATGTGTGAATCGGATACAATTGGTACAGGAAGAGATTACCCCTCCTTCTCCAGCAGAGCATCTTCGACAGTTAGGTTCTAATCTTTTGCTATTTTCAAACATACTGAAAGGAATATTGTTAAGTGTAGGTAGGCGTTTATACATTTATTCAAGAATATCTGTCCAGTACATTTCAAGAAGTTGCCCTGGAGATGTTCTGACAGTTTAAAATCACAATTGCTCCAAATAAGAACGATGAGCAATTTCCTCTGGTAAAGATTTTCAGCCTTGGAAACCCAGTGCAAAGTATGAAGGTTAGAAAAGCCTCCACCAAAAAAAAAAAAAAGAAAAGCCTCCACCGCAGTTCTTGTTTTTTTAAGTTTCTTGAGTGAGGCTCTAGGGGGCGCAAATGTTTTATGCTTCCCTACTACGGTAAGTAGCAGTGCCATCAGACAGGTCTTGAGTTCTGCTTTTGTAAAGATTACAGCTAAGAGCACCCTATCAATTTCTATGAATCGAAGGTAAAAAAAAAAACAACCCAAAACAAAACATTTAAACATTTCAGCGACTCTAAACTCTGCCCTATCCTGAGCCAGTCTCACTGTCTCCAACATATTCTATTCCCATTACCCAGTTACTGTGTCAATCCTTCTCATCTGGGGTCTTCCTCTCCTGCACTGTCCCTCCCCCATTTGAAGCATAATGTTTTTCTCCAGAGACTGGTCCCTCCTGGCCACATGCCTAAGTATGTGAGACAGAGCTTTGTTTATATACAAAATTTGTATATATTGTGTTCATTCATGTACAGTGTGTTTCACATTCTTTCATTCACATTTGTGTTTTACAAGATCATTCATATACATCGTGTTTTAGAAAATTAATCACCATTGATCTATGCCTACCATTACCCTATCTTTTCAGGTCCCCAATTGGATGGATCCTTCCTAATTACTTCACCATCATCCCCAAACTCCGCTATCTTAGTGACTTTCTCCTCTCCCCACCGTCTGTCCTTTTGCCCACTTTCCCTTTGCCAGGACCTCCATAAACATCCTTTTTTTTTTAAGATACTAGTTTAAGGGGAGCTCTGGTGGCCCAGTGGTAAGGAGCTGCAACTATAATCCCAGAGGCACACGGTTCGAATCCACCAGATGCTCTGCCGAGGAAGGAGGGACAATCTCCTCCTGTACCAGTCAGATCTGATTTGACGGTACACTCACACAAAAATAATAAAATAAAATAAAAAGATACTAGTTTAATTACAAATCTTACTAGTTATCCTTCTATTTTTACAATAATGCCTTATGCAGTATTTGTTCTTATAAAACTGAATTAGTTCGCTCAGCATAATAGCTCTCTAGAATCTCTCATGTTGTATATAAATATTTTAATAGCTTTAGTCAAACTTCTCATTTAGGTTGCACTATTTCCCACTCCCACTAAGAGTGCTCCATTCTGCAACAATGAATGAATGGAATCCCAAAATCTCTGTAGATGTTCATTGAAATGAAAAATAAACAACCTAAATTTAAAAAAAAAAAGAGTGCTCCTTTCACCAACACATTTAGGTCTTTTCCAAGATTAAAGATTGTAGTGGGTTTTAATGATGAAGCTACATATTATTTCTTTTTATTAATGCTTTATGTTTCTTTTAATGTGCCTTGTCCACGCTCTTTTTCTTATTAACTCATTAATCCTTACTGCAGGGCACAAAGTTTGGAGGGAGCTCGCCTCCCTAAACATATTTATGCTGCCAGCTCAAGGAGTTAAACTAAATATTGATAAATTCAAGTCTCAGTTATTTTTCCCTCCCCTGACCTTTTAAAAATCTTAAAGTAAGGGGAGCTCTAGTGGCCTAGTGGCAAGAAGCTGCACTGCAATCCCAGAGGCGATTGGTTCAAATCCACCAGATCTGCCGAGGAAGGAGGGACAATCTCCTCCTGTACCAGTCAGATCTGATACACACACACACACACACACACACACACACACCCCTTAAAGTAGCTGTTAAGTCATTCAAAACAGTTCTAATTCGCGTTTTCATTAAGTTTGTCCACACACACACACACACCCCCACCCACCCACCCACCCCTTAAAGTAGCGGTTAAGTCATTCAAAACAGTTCTAATTCGCGTTTTCATTAAGTTTGTCCAAGCAACTCCCCGTCCTTTCGCTAGCGCTCACAGACGGAGCTTTCGGGAAGTTTGTCCCTCGTCGTTCTCCGTTTTCTCCCAGAGCTTGTGTGTGTCTGGGTCTCCGCGTCCGGAGAAACCGCAGCCATGGCGTTCCAGTGTCAGCGAGACAGCTACGCCCGAGAGGTGCGGCCCGAGGGGTGCATGGTGCTGCCGAGCGGACGGGACAGTGCGGGGACGAGGGCGCTTCATGGAGAGAGTGCTGGAATTAGGGGTTCAGGCTCCGTGTACTGAAACCTGGGCTTGGGGTTTATTCTCCTTTCTCGCTTTCCCCAGCTCACCACGACCGTGGTCTCCTGCCGTCCTGCAGAGTTGCAGACTGAAGGAAGTAACGGCCAGAAGGAAGTAGTGAGCGGCTTCCAAGTGGTGCTGGAAGACACGCTGCTTTTCCCCGAGGGCGGAGGACAGGTACTAGCCCTGTCCCTCAGTGGATCCTTCTCCCAGGGGATCCCTAATTCCTTTGCGCTTAGCTCTCTTGTCTCCTGGTTTTCAATCTTAATAATCACAGGAGGAAATTAGTTCAACTCTATTCATTTATCCATTCAACAAGTATTGATCAGTAAGTATTTATTTAGGCATGACGTATGTTAGGTCCTATTCCAAGCTCTTAAGATAAAGGTTGAACAAGAGATTATCTTTACATTTGTGTCTGAAATGTTTCTTTTGGTACACGTACACAGGAAGAACGAGAAAACTGTGCCTATGTAAGTAATACATCAGGTTAGTCTAAGTGTTGTCACGTTAGAAAAAGCTAAGGAAAGGGAAAGTGTGGGATTCTCTTCTAGATAGGAGATGTAAGGTGCCCTTGAGGTGTCAGGACACACTGGGAACCCAAGAACAACAGATCAGAACCTTGACCTGTCCTGCACCATTCTCTGCATTTCTGATATACCCTAGCCCATTGTTATAATCACTGTGTTGAGCCATTTTGTTAAGGGCTTCCTTTCTTTTTTTTCTTCCTTTCCCTTTTAAAAAAATTATTATTAATTTTAATGAAAATTTACAGAGACTTTGGATTTTCATTCATTCGGGGTTGCACTTTTCTCCCTGCCCACCCTTCCCTTCCCCACTCTTCTCTTTGAAAAGTAAAGGAAAAATTCTTTCATTGTTTTACAATCCCTCCCCCCAGGTCCACTCCACCATGCAGACTTCTTTCTGGACTCCTGTCATGACTATAATACCTAATCACATATCCCTTTTCAACAGTTTTCTCCCTCCTCTGTTTCAATGCGGTATACATTATTTATTGCATCTTTCTCAGTCTCCCCCCAACCCTGATGTCAGTCCTGTTTTACCACAGTGGCACTTTGCAGTATTTTGTGATTGAGATATTTCACTCAGCATAATATCTTCCAGGGTCACCCATTTTGAATACTGTTTAATGAGATCCTTGTTTTTTAATGCAGCATAGTATTCCATTGTGTGAATAGACCACAGCTTCTCTATCTGTTTGTTTATGGTCTTCCTCTCTTTTGTTGACTCGCCACACTTTTAAGCAGAATGTCTTTTTCCAACAACTAGCCTCTCTTAACAGTATACCCAAGGTACGTGAGACAAAGTTTCATCATTCTTGCCTCTAAGAAGCAACTTGGCTGCCCTTTCTTCAAGATAGATTTGCTTGGGTTTTTTTTTGACAGTTCATAGTATATTTAATACTCTTCACCAACACCACAACTCAAAGGAATTGATTCTCCTGAGAACTGATTATCCTTATTCAAAGTCCAAATGTTCAATACATAGGAAGAAATTAAAAAGATTGCAGTTTAAATCCGGCACAAGTTGATTTTTTTTTTTAGGTAAAAGGTAAAGATAGATTTATTTAAAAGTTGTGTCTGAAGACCCAAAGATGGGATGGACCCTCCACATTGGAAAGGAAATGTGGAGGAGGCCTCACACTTTAATCTTTAAACTGACCTGGGAGAGGTCCTTGACAGCAGATTTCTTCAAGACAGTGTCTTTTGATTTCTTGACTGCTGGTACCAAGGGTATTGATTGTGGATCTGAGTAAGAGGAAATCATTAACAACTTCAGTCTTCTCCATCTGTCCATCCTATGGTGAGGATTTCTGTCTTATATAGCCTTCAGTATGGATTATACTTCAACATCAAGAAAACAAAAAGCCCAATGAGGGAGTTTTTCTTTTGCTTTTCAAGGAGAGGAGCAAATGGGGGGGGGAGGGGGGAGAGGTTTGTGCGGGGAGAAGGGTGCAACAATGAATGAATGGAATTCCAAAATCTCTGTAGATGTTCATTGAAATGAAAAATAAACAACCTAAATTTAAAAAAAAACACAAAAAACAAAAAGCCTCATCACTGGACCAGTAGAGAATATCATGATCAGAGGAGAAAAACACGTGACATTGTTGATTATTTCATTTTGCTTGGATCTAGCATCCAAGGAAGCAGCAGTCAAGAAACCAAATGATTAATTGCCTAGGGGAAATCTGCCAAGGACCTCTTTAAAGTGCTAAAGAGCAAAGACGTCACTTTGACGATCAAGATGTGCTTGATGTAAGCCATTATATTTTCAGTTGCTTCATATGCTTGTGAAAGTTGAATAGTAATTAAGGATGACCTCAGAAAAATTGATGCATTTGAGTTGTAATACTGGTGAAAGATATTGCACATAGCATGGACTGCCAAAAGAACAAATAAAGGTGCAGCCAGAGTGCTCTTCAGAGGCAAGGATTGTGAGGCTTGTAATCAGGAGGGATGATTTCCTGGGAAAGTAGATGGCCAGTAAAAGAGTGAAAGACCCTCAAGGTGGATGGACATAATGACTGCAATACTGGGCTTAAATATGGTAGAGATTGTGAGAATGGCACAGGAATGGGCAGGGTTTTATTCTTTTGTACATAGGTTTGCTTCAGAGGTGACTTGATGATACCTAACAACACCAATAAGTTTGGTAGCAGTGCAGAAAAAAGAGTGGAGAACAGGAGAAAATTTAGATAACCGTAGATACTATTGAAAGGTAATAAACGTCCAAACTAAGGCAATGAAATTGAGCTTAGAGACTCTGAGCTTTACTTGAATCTTTGCTGTAGACAATAGTCTTTTTCCTTTTGTTCTGTTTCAGTTTCTTTCTAATTAATAAAATGCCTGTGTGCAGAGTGAAGAGGACAGAGAAACAATTCCCTCAGGGAATAAAATAGACCTATCTCACTTGGCCTTGCCTTTTTTCCCCTGGGGAGCTCACATTCTGGATCGATCTTTATTCGCTTTCTCTAAAGAGTCACTCACTGATTACCTGCACTTCTTCCTCCAGCCTGATGACCGAGGTACTATCAATGACGTCAGTGTGCTGCGAGTAACACGCCGGGGGTCCCAGGCTGATCATTTCACACAGATACCCCTAGAGCCCGGGAGCCAGGTCCAGGTCCGAGTGGACTGGGACAGGAGGTTTGACCATATGCAGCAGCATTCAGGTATGTGAGATGAGGTTGGGTGGAGACTTCTAGGAGAGGTGCTTACCATGATGATTGAGAAGTAATTTTGGTTCTCTACAAGTTAGGCTTTTGAAAGAGACAGACATATACAGAATTAGCTCTGTTTAAGGCAGGTTGTAATAAATACTATAAAAGCAGTACAAAGAAGAAGGAATACGGGAGTAACTGCTGGATTTGAGTCCATGTGATATCTGCCTGATATCATCATATGGCTATCTTGAAGTCCTTTCAAACAAAATATGTCCTAAATAGAATAAAATTCACTCCCTGCTTCTTTTCACTGAAGTCTGGTCCTCGTCAGCCTTTCCTAGCTTGGTGCTGGGCATCACAGTCTGCCCAGTTCTGTAAGCCAAGTCCTGGAGGGCATTCCAGACACTTTTCCTTTTTTTTTTATTTAAAAAAATATTTTTAAAAAACTTTTTTAAAAAAAATTTAGTTCCGGGGAGCTCTGGTGGCCTAGTGGCAGGAAGCTGCACTGCAATCCCAGAGGCATGTGGTTCAAATCCACCAGTTGCTCTGCTGGAGAAGGAGGGGCAATCTCTTCCTATACCAGTCAGAACCGACTTGGTGGTACACACACAAAAAAATTTAGTTCCTTTTTAAAAAATTTACTATTAATTTCAATGAAAATTTACAGAGACTTTGGATTTATATTCATTCATTGTTGCTCTTTTCTCCCCTCCCAACCCTCCCCCCTAGTATACTACCCTCTTGGAAAAAGTAGAAGAAAAATTCTTTCATTGTTTTACAAACCCTCCCCCAGGTCCACTCCACTATGCAGCCTTCGCTCTGGAGTCCTGTCATGACAAAAATACCTAATCACATATCCCTTTTAAACAGTTTTTTAAAAACCTTGTTACAATTGTGTTAGAAATTCACAGAGCAAATGGATTTTTCTTCAGCAATTCATAGGCATTTGGTTTAGTTATGCTGATTGCAACTTTCACAATGTAACAGAATTCTTCCCAGGTTCTCCCTTAGTCATCATTTCCATTCTTCTTTTCTTAAGCCTTTGTTCCTTCTAAGCTCTATCCCTGGGCAAATGCTGCCCTTGGGATCTCATATGGTTGATTATTCAGAGGACTGCATTTCTCCCTCTTGTCATTCTTCACCTTCTAGATCTGTCTATTGTTTGGCTGAAAATTGAACCACAGGGGAGAAAGTTCAGTCCCAGATTTGATGGGTGTCTAAAGTTCATAGTCTTGAGGGTTCTCCCACTTTCTGTCAGACCAGTAAGCCTGGTCTTCTTTATGATTTTGAATTTTGTTTTACCATTTTCCTTTGTTCTTTTTTTTAAAAATTAATTTTAATGAAAGTTTATAGAGATTTAGGATTTCCAGTCATTCATTGTTGCACTTTCCTCCCTATCCTTCCCCTCCCCCCAAATTCACTCTTTTCCTTGAAAAGAAAAAGAAAAATTCTTTCATTGTTATTCAATCCCTCCCCCCAAGTCCGCTCCACCATGCAGCCTTCACTCAGGACTTCTGTAATGATGAGAATACTTGTTCATATGGTCTTTTTTTTTTTTTTAATTTTTTTTATTATTTTTGTGTGTGTGTACCGTCAAATCAGATCTGACTGGTACAGGAGGAGATTGTCCCTCCTTACCCTGCAGAGCATCTGGTGGATTCGAACCATTCACCTCTGGGATTGTAGTTGCAGCTCCTTGCCACTAGACCACCAGAGCTCCCCTCATATGGTCTTTTAAAATAGTTCTCTCCCTCATCTGTTTCAGTGCAATATCATTCCTCCCCTCCTTTTCTGTCTTCCCTCAACTCTGATGTCAGTCTTGTTTTACAACAGTGGCCCTATGCAATATTTGTCCTTTTGTGACTGAGGTATTTCACTCAGCTTAATGTCCTCCAGGGTCACCCATTTTGGATAATATTTCATGAGTTCCTTGTTTTTCAATGTTGCATAGTATTCCATTGTGTGAATATACCAGAGCTTCTCCATCCATTCGTTTGTTGATGAGCACTTGGGTTGTTTCCAGCTCTTTGCTGTTGGGAACAAAGTAGCAATAAATATGGGTATGCATCACTTTGCCTTTTTGAGGAGAGCCACTCCATTGCATAATACTCCATTGTGTGTGAATGTACCATAGTTTATTTATCAATTCATCCACTGAGGGCATTTGAATTGTTTCCATTACTGTTCTGTGGTACAACAAACACAGATCTCTATACCCTTGGTGATGGTCTTTGCGGTGGTTGTTGTGCTCTATCCTGAGTCAACCTTATTGTCACTGACACACTGACAACTGTTAACCTACTCGCTGAGTCAATCCATCTCACCCAGGGTCATCTTCTCTTATGCTGTCCCTCCACTCTTCCAAGCATGATGTCCCTCTCCAAGCACTGGTCCCTCTTTGCAGTATGCCCGTAGTATATCAGATGGAGCTTCAGAATCCTTGCCTCCAAGGAGCAGCCTGGTTTCACACTCTCCAGCACAAACCTGTGGTGCAGCTCTTACTTATTTGGGACATATACCTAGTGGTGGGACTACTGGATCAAATTGTTATTTCTGTTCCCAACTTTTATAAGGAAGTATCAAACTGCTTTCCTTGGTAGCTGCACCATTTTACATTTCCATCAGCAGTGAATGAGAGTTCCAATTTCTCCACATCCTTGCCAGCATTTGTTTACTATCTCAGCAAATGTTGCTGTTCTTGCTGAGGTTAGATGTATCTCATTATTGTTTTGAACTATGAGTTGTGCTGAAGAGTATTGAACATACCATGGACTGCCAAGAGAACTGACAGGCCTGTCCTGAAAAGGGTGAAATCAAGTTGCTCCCTGGAGGCAAGGATTTTGAACCTCTGTCTCACATACTTTTGGCATATGGCCAGGAGAGACCAGTCCTTGGAGAAAGACATCGTGTTTGGAAGGGTAAAGGGACAATGCAGGAGAGGAAAACCCTGGGTGAGATGGATTGACACAGACTGAAGTAATGAGGGTAGGTGTGTTAGAGACAGTAAGACTGGCTCAGGACAGAGCAGGGTTTAGAGCTGTTGTACATAGGGTTGCTATGAGTCAAGGTGACTCAACGACACATGATAACAACAATAGAAAATAATCTTGAGCATTTCTTGATATGTTCATTGGTCATCTGAATGTCTTTGATGAGGTGGCTTTTCATTTCCTCTGCCCATTTTGTAACTGAGTTGGGTTTTTTTCTTGTTGAGTTTTGGAGGTTTCTTATTGCCAAGTACTCTTTCCCAGTGTATAGGTTCTCTTTTCACTTTTGTTGAGAAATCTTTTGATGCACATAAGAATTTAATTCTTTTTTATTGTTGTTGGATAATATTTTCATGTCAAAGTAAAATTTGTAACTGTAGATAATCATGTTGTTTTTTTATTGATATTTTAATGAAAGTTTACTAAGAACTTGGATTTTCATTAATTCATTGTTGCACCTTTTCCTCCCTAACCTCCCCAGTTCACTTTTTTCTTTAAGAAAAATTCTTTCATTGTACAATTTCCTCCCCCCATCCCCTTTGTTATTCACATCTTATTCTGGACTATTGTCATGCAAATAATACCTAATCGTATATTCCTTTTAAACAGTGCTCTCCCTCGTCTGTTTCAATACAGTGTACATTATTTACCCCTCTTTTTTTAGTTTTCCCCCAGCCCCCATTTCAGTCCTGTTCAGTGGCATTATGCAGAATTTGACCTTTTGTAACAGGGATATTTCACTCAGCATAATGTCTTCCAGGGTCACCCATTTTGTATAATATTTTATGAGTTCCTTGTTTTTCATTGCTGCGTAGTATTCTGTTGTGTGAATATACCACAGCTTCTCTATCCATTCGTTTGTTGATGGGCACTTGGGTTGTTTCCATCTCTTTGCTATTGTGTATAACTCAGCAGGAAACATAGGTGCATATACCTTTTTGGTTGGCAGTTCTAGGATAATAATTTAATTCTTAGGAGATCCCAGTTGCCTGTCTGCTGATTGTGCATTTTCAGCTTTATTTGATAAACCATTCATGTCATAGATTAAAGTTCCTAAGTTTGCCCCAGTTTTTTCCTTTATAAATGTATAGTTTTAAGTTTTACATCTAGGTCTTTGATACATTTTGAGTTAGCATTTGTGTACAGTGTGAGATACAGCTCTTTATTCACAAAGAGATACCTTGTTTTGCCAGCACCCTTATTAGTACCAAGCTGTTTGATTACTCTGGCTGTGTACTAGGTTTTGAAAACAGGAAGTGTAAGGCCTTCTGCTTTACTTTTTTAATAAAGTATCTGAAGTATTTGGTTCATGGATCAAATAGTGACTCTTGTGATTATATCATGTGACTGGCTGGGCTTCTCACTCATTTGCTGCCTCTTGTTCTCTTTGCTCAGGGCAGCATCTCATCACAGCAGTTGCTGACCATCTGTTTGGGTGGAAGACAACATCCTGGTGAGCAGGAGACCGTCGAGATGAACTGTCGTGTGTGGGCTGCTGACTGTCTGGTTACCTGTGCTTTCTCAATCATGAATCAAGGCCTGGGTGATACCAGAAAGGAGAGTGTTCAAAATTTATCTTAAGTTCTTCCTCTCTTTATTCTGTTTTTCCTTTCCTTTGAAAAAGAGCAGGTGCTCTTGCCAGAGTTCTCTAGAGAAATAAAACCAGTAAGACCAATATGTATATAAAGAGATTTCTTTTAAGAAATTGACTCCTGTAATTGTAAGGGCTGGTGAGTTTGAAACCCAAAGGGCAGACTGGCAGTCTGGAATTTCTGTATTGAAGTCTGGAGGTAGATTTCCTTCTTTTCTGGATATCCTCAGTATTTACTCATAAGGCCTTTAACTGATTGGACAATGAGGATAATTATGACTTAAAGCCAACTGCTTCTAAATCTTAATCACATTAACAAAATGCCTCCCAGCAACATGGAGACTAGTGTGTGACCATGTGGCTGGGCCCCATAGCATAGCCAAGTTGGCATGTTCAATTCACAATTACAGAAGAGTTAGTGGGCCGACCTTGAGGTTCATAGGGGAAACATAATGATGAGAGGAGAAATAGTTGCCTTGATATTCAGGAAAGAATATAGAATTTGGAGCCAAAAGAACCAGAGGGGGAGTCCTGACTCCACTACTCACTGGTTACCTGACCTTGCTTACACCCTTTTAATAACCCTCTAAATCTCAGTTTTCCTGTGTACAAAATGGGAGTGAGAATGCTGCCTTATGGGATTTTTGTGAGGTTTTGGTAAGACTACTTATGTACATATTCTTTTCAATCTGTGGACCTCTTACATATTATTGTTATCGTGATCATCAACATCCTCTGAGCACTGCATTCACCTGGCAGGGAGTTAGGACGCTTCCGGAGCGTGATTGAACTGGACACCCCCTCTGTGACTGCAGAGCAGACAGCTGACATTGAGCAGAGTGTCAACGAAAAGATCCGAGATCGAATCCCTGTGAATGTGCGAGAACTGAGCCTGGACGATCCTGAGGTGGAACAGGTGAGGGCAGAGCCAGCGGGGTGGTGGCTGTAAGATGGATCTTTGAGGGCTCCTCCACACGATTCAGACGGTCCCTCCCTTTCCCATTCCTGTTATGCAGGTGCGAGGCCGGGGCTTGCCAGATGATCACGCTGGACCCATCCGAGTTGTTACCATCAAGGGTATTGATTCCAACATGTGCTGTGGGACTCATGTGAGCAATCTCAGTGACCTTCAGGTAAGGTGAAGGAGGGCTGCTGAGTGGTCACGAGAGAGGGATGGGGAATGCAGGATCACAAAGGGCCTGGGAGTGGTGTGTGAAAGGCCATTGAAGAGTCCTAAGGGAAATCACTCTGTTGTTGTTTCAGGGCTGAGGAGGAAGTTTGAGTCTCTCTGCCCTTGAGTTTCAGGATTCTGGTTTCTGCCTATATGTGCATGTTTTATTCCTTTGCTTCATATAGGTGATTAAGATTCTGGGCATAGAGAAGGGGAAAAAGAACAAAACCAACCTGATATTTTTGGCTGGGAACCGTGTGCTGAGGTGGATGGAGAGGAGTCATGGGACTGAAAAAGCCTTGACCGCTTTGCTCAAGTATGTCCCCTTCTTGCTAATCTTCCTCCTGTTCCTCAGCTCTGGGCACCCTGGCATGTAAGAGTGAGTGGCTCTCCTACTCTCTCCCTGGCTCCCCTACTTGGAAAGTCGGGGGAACAATCTCTTCCCTGTAGGGGTTAAGATGTAACAGTGAACAGTAAAGTGCTGTGGATAGTAAATCAGACCCAAACATATCCCCCTCCCCCCCTTTATAACCATTCCCCAATGGCCAAAGGACCTCCTCATAATGTCTCCAGCTCCCTATCTGGAGGCAGGTCCTCTTTCAAGAAGGGAATTGTTTTTGCCAACAATAGCAGAAGCAGTTGAGAAACTAGACAGCTGTCTCTGCTGACCCTTCTCTTGCAGGTGTGGAGTAGAGGATCATGTGGAATCAGTGAAAAAGCTACAGAACTCAACCAAGCTTCTGCAGAAGGTGATGTATTCCATGAAAGGTGCAACAGAGCATAGATTCTGCTGGAGTGAACTCCCCCGAGTTAGCCCCTCAGCGTAAACAGATGTGTAGTTTGTCCCAGGGGAAAGGGAAGGCGCATGAAGTGGAGGGAAGGTGGTGCTCTTTCTCATTTTGTCCTGTCCACCTCTACTGAGTTATCACATCCCTTTCAGAACAACCTGAATCTGCTCAGAGACTTGGCTATGCACACTGCTCACAGCCTCAGGAACAGCCCAGACTGGGGAGGTGTGGTCGTATTACACAGGTGAGAGCACTGACAAGGCATGCTAGTCGGTGGGCGTGTATGCAGTGGGTGGTTGAAGAGGGGTTCCTCCCTAGTATCTTCAGGATAATGTAGACTCAAAAATTTTGTGTTATAGAAGGGAGCTCTGGTGACCTAGTGGCAAGAAGCTGCACTGCAATCCTGAAGGTGTGCAGTTTGAATCCACTAGGTGCTGCACTGGAGAAGGAGGGGCATTTTCCTCCTGTGCCAGTCAGATCTGACTCAACAGTACACAACAAGAAAAAAAAATTTTTGTGTTTTATACTAAATACTAAGCTGCTGAGGCCAAGAAGGATGTCTTACTTTTTTCTCTTTGCTAAGAGGGCCCAGAACTTCATGTGTATGGACAGACAGCAAGAGGTTAGCTTCACCAAGAGCACCTGGCTTCTTAGAGTCTCACAGCTCCAACTCTAACCTGTATCTCATGTCTGTGTCCTTTGTTGTAGGAAGGAAGGTGATTCTGAGTTCATGAATATCATTGCCAATGAGATTGGGTCAGAGGTAAGAGGACCATGAAATTCTGTCCCCAGCTGATCAGGGACTCAAGGAGATAGAAGTCAGAAGTGTAGTTTGGCTAAATCTTTACACACTAACACAGTTCTAGGAAATAGAAATGCATTCATTATTTTCTTAGTTCTACTCACACTTTGTTTCATGTGTTGAACTAGATCTTCGACATTAATCTCTTCAGGGCTGTGTTGCTTAAGAGCTTCCTAGCTCCTCACAAAGCGTAATTCTTAGAGACAGGTTTATATATGTGCCAGGTGCCTGATTTGAGAAATATTGAGATTGGCAGGGTTCTTTTAAGACTATCTCTCCCATTTGCTTTGGCCTCTAGCTTCAGCTACCCTTCCCTGATAGTCTACTGCTTAGAGACTTCCCAGTCTTTGCATTTACTCCGGACATATTTTTTGGAATGCCTATTTTGGGCCCAGCATCGCTTGTGTATCCCTCCATAATTCTTTGTGTAAAGTACATTGGTTCTTAAGGAGTTCACTTTCTAGATTAGGTGTGTGGACATTGGTAATTTTGGGTGCTGAATGTTGCAGTGCACGTGTGCCCAAGGATTTGTAGCTAGAATTAGAAGAGTATGTTACCTGAAAATGTGGTGACACTTTAGGGGAAGAGTCTGTTTAGTCAGCTGTGTCATAAAGATTGCTCAGAGGTCAGTGACAGAGCAAGGAACAAAACAAGCCAGGCAGAGATAGCAGCATAGGGCATTAAGGCAGCAGTGATTTGGGGAATGGGCAGCACAGGCACATGATGATGGAGGAGGGATGGCCAGGCTGGAAAGGTTGAAAGGAATTAATTGCAATGGGCATTTTATGCTTGGCCATGTTCAGCAGTGTTCTTCCCCCTTTTAAATGTTTAACGTAAGTTCCTTTTAACTCATTCCTATCAAGTTAATTCATCTTCTAGTGACCCTGTAGGGAGCTCTTTTTCCTTGTTGTTTTTGATTGCCTTCGAGTCGAGCACGACTCATAGTGACCCTATGAACAAAAGACCTGAAGCCCTCCACAACCATTGCCATTTATCGTAGTTCACAGGGTTTCCAGAGGCATGCTGTTTGGGAAGTGGATGCCACTCCTGCTTTTGACTTAGTGGTAAGGAATTGCACTGCCAACCGAAAGGCCTGGGGTTGAATCCTCCAGGTGCTGTGTGGACCAAAGATTGACGTTCTCTTCCCATGTGATTTACTGCCTCTGAAAACCTGCTGGAGGCTCAGCTATGAGTCGGTTTCAACTCAATGTTACACAGCAGTGACCTGATAGGACAGGGTGGAGCTGTCGCACAGGGTTTCCAAGACGATGAGTCTCTGTGGAAGCTCACTGCCACATGTTTACTGCACAGAGTGGCTGGTGAGTTCAAACAGCCAACCTTCCAGCTAGCAGCCAAATGCTTTGTCATTGCGCCACTAGGACTCGTGTATTCTAATTGTTGTTGTTATATGTCATTGAATCAAGGAGGATTCATAGCAACCCAGTGGACGGTAGTTCTAAGCCTTGTCCGACCCTGCCCCACCCTCATCGTCTCTGACCTATGCAGACATACTCAGATCACTGCATCATGGTGTCAGTCCGACTTGTTGAAGGTCTTCCTCTCTTTTGCTGACCCTTTACCTTTCCAAGCATAATGTTCCTTTTCAAGGAATAGCCCTCACTGACAACATGCTCAGAGTATGTGAGCTGGAGCTTGCCTCTAAGGAGCACTCTGGCTGCACCTTCCCTAAGACATTTCTGCGTGTCACTTTCAAAAGGCTTCTTGATCATACTGGGTCAGAGTTCAGGAGCTGCATCAATCAACAGGGACATCACCCGTTTCTTCAGAAGGAAATCTTTTGAGACTAAGAAGAGGGTAGAGGTTAGGGGGGTTGTTGACTTCATGTCTTAAGTATCAGGGTTCATCTCCTTGTTTTACTCCCTAGGAGACCCTGCTGTTCTTAACCGTGGGCGATGAGAAAGGTGCTGGGCTCTTCTTGCTGGCAGGATCGGCCGAAGCCGTGGAGAACCTGGGGCCCAGGTAATCCAGTTTGAACTCTCACATGGGTGGGGCTGTGTAAGGCTTACCTCCGAATACAGCCCTTTGCTGTATTAGGACCATCACACCTGTGATCACAGACCTGAACAGGGGTCGTTATTACTTATCATGACCCTCATTTTCACTGATGGAGGATCTGGTCATGTGCCTGAGGTCTCACAGTTAAAGTGGCAGAGCTGACTTGAACTCAGATCTCGTGGGTCCAAACTCCATGCCTCTCCTCACTTCAAGAGATGTTATTATATAAGCACATGTTTATTATATGAGCTCTCAGTGGTCAATTGAAGCATGTGTGTAAGGCACAAGCAAAGCAGAAGCAAAGAAAAACCTTTTGGAGGAAAAATTTTAAAGATATTTGAGACTAGAACAGAAAGGCCATTGAATGTAATTGCTATGGAAAAATGTAGAATCTTCAGAGAGGTGCACAGTTCGAATCTACCAGATGCTCTGCTGGAGAAGGAGGGGCAATCTCCTACTTTACCAGTCAGATCAGTTTGACGGTACACACACACAAAATAATAAAATAAAATAAAAAGAAAAATGTAGAATCTTGTTGAACTTCTCCATTCTTTAAATACTGTTTTAGGATTTCCTTGTTTTAAATTAGACATGAGGATAAGGCGCCCGACAATCTTTCTGGTACCTAGGATTCCCGATTGGCTTTGACGAATACATGTTCATTGTAAATCATTCTAGCAAGTATCGTAACAGGTTCTGGAAGGAAGCCACATGGGACCTATAGACTAGTTTGGACCACCCACTACTGTAAAATGAAGTTTTACGTAAAAAGAAGGAATTCTAATTTTTCTTTAAAAAGAAAAGAAGGTCTTATAGTTCTGGGCACACACTCCCATACAGTTGTAGCAAAAGGAAGCTGCCCAGCAGCCGGCCTCTTCCGACGGGACAGACCCCTGCAGCGTGCTGGTTTTCATGTTCTCAATTGCTTGCACCCAGCCTACTTTACTCTGCCCCTGCCAGGTGCTCATGTTTGCAGCCCATACCTCATGTGCCCGTAGCCCCCCTCCCTGGAGAGCACCTATGTAGACAGTGGTGTGTCCTCTCAGTCCTTTTCTGGGCCCTGACATAATCTTTTTAGAAAAGAAAACGTAAGTGGAATCACACCATGTGTGTTTTCTGACCCTTGAATCTCTCTTCATAATATTTTTTAGGAACATCCCCCCCAGTGACATGTGGCTGTGTCACAGTCTTTTTAACAGCTGTACCAGGACTGTATTTCATACCATGGATGACTTAATAATTTCTCTACCTCTTCCAATTATAGACACTTAGTTTCTAATTATTCATTCTTATAATGAACATTGTATTTGTATCTGTGTGCCCATGTACAAGGTTTTTCTTTTAATTGTGGGAAAATACAAAACATTTGCCAGTTCATTAATTTTTACCTATATAATTTGGTCATGCTGACATTTTTATAATTTTTTTAATTCACATTCTGTTTCTTATGATCATTCCCATACATCGTGTCTTTGATCTGTGCCCACTATTACCCTGTCCTTTCAGATCCCCACTGGATCTTTCCTAATTCCTTTGCCCTCTGCCCATATTTATGTTTTTTAATGCTGCACTCTCTCTTCTTTTCTAACTTACTCTACTACCATTCACATAATGCCAAGCCCCAGAAAACTCAAACGTACTACCTACCATTGAGTAGTTTAATTCTTAGTGACATTGAACACTTTTTCATGTGCTATTGATCATTTGTAGATCTTCTTTGGTCAAGTGTCTGCTCATTTTTTGGTTTGGACTTTTTTTATGTTGTTGAATTGCAGAGATTTTATGTAAATGGATTTTGGATCTTAAACCCTTATCAGCTATATTATTTCCAAAGTTTTCTCCCAGTCTCTTTGCTTTGTCGATAAAGTAATTTGTTAAACAAAAAGTGTTTCATTTTTATGATGAATCAGTATTTTTAAGGAGGCTCCTAGGAGCCATCTAGTCTTTCCCTTCCCTACCCCTGGACCCTGACGGAAGACTCTTCTGTGGCTTTACCCAAGGAGGCTTTTCTGACTTGATCTCTGTTTCTCAGGGTGGCTGAGGTTCTGGAAGGCAAAGGAGCTGGGAAGAAAGGCCGCTTTCAGGGCAAAGCCACCAAAATGAGCCGGCGTGCAGAGGTTCAAGCGCTTCTCCAGGATTATATCAACACGCAGAGTGCTGAGGAGTGAGGGACGCCCTTCTTGGTGTTGGACAATAAAATAGTTTGACTCAAGCAGTTGTGGTATACATGCTTCTCTGTGTAACTTGTATAGTATACTCCAGTGTGCAATGTGTGTCTTTTTAAAGAAACCATTTTTCTAATTTGAGCTTTATTAAGTATAACCTGTGTAAGTGTTATATTGGTAGAATGTACTAATTTATCTAAGTCAGTATCTTTTTAATCTACTTTTAAGTTAGATTATGATGATTCATTGTGTGTTAAAGACCTACACAGCATAGAATTTTTAGGGGTATCATTTTCAAAAGTAGATTGCCATGCTTCTCTTTTGGAGACACTTCTAAATAGACTGTAACCCCCAACTTTTTGGTTAGCAAGTGAGCATGTGAATCATTTGTGCTGATTCTTTACACTCAGAAGACTTGAAACACTCATCAAGAAAAGACTAACATTTATTACTTGCCACTCTGTTAAACTTTGCCACTGTTACTGGACTGAGATGGTACCTCATTGTGGTTTTGATTTGCATCTCTTATTGCCAGTGATTTTGAACATTTTTCCAATGTCTGTTTGTCATCTGAATATCTTCCTCTGTGAAAATTCTTTCCATGTCTTTTGCCCATTTTGTAATTGGGTTATCAGTCTTTTTCTTACAGAGGCCTAGGAGTATTCTGTAAACTTCTGTTATAAGACTCCTGTCTGAGCAAGACAAGAAATGTTTGTTCCCAGGCTGTAGGTTTTCTTTTCACCCTGTTGGAAAAAGTTTTTGATGTACACTTAATATTTTGAATGTCCTATGCATCAATTTTATTCTCTTCAGATTGTGCATTTCTGGTAGTATTTGGTAGTCTCCGATATGGTGAGAAAGGAACACTTATACATTGTTGGTGGGATTGTAAAATGGTACAGTCATTCTGAAAGGCAGTTTGGCACTTTTTCAAAAAGCTGAACATTAAAATTCCATATGACCCAATTATTCCACTACTTGGAATATACCCTGAGAAAATGAGAACTGAGACACAAACTGAGATTTGTACACCAGTGTTCATAGTAGCATTATTTACCATCGCAAGAACATGGAAACAGCCCAAATGTCCAACCACAAATGAATGGATTGAGAAATTATGGTACATTCACACAGTAGAAGCCTATGTAGCATACAGGAACAATGATTTTGTAAATTATTACCTAACTTGGCATGAATTAGACAACATTATGCTGAGTGAACTAACTCAGTCCCATGAGGATAAATACTGTATAAACCCATTATTGTAGAATGAGTATAAGGATCCAGGAGGGGTGGGAGAGGCTGGAAGCAAAGGGATGAGGATGTGCAGGGGGAGGGAAGGATTAATCATGGGGTTGTACAATTTGTTGGGTGAGGGGGTCAGGGAAACTGAAAGAACAATATTAGAACGTTGTAAATAAACTAGTAGAAAATTAAACAACACTAAGAAAAAGATCAAAGACTATATACAGCAGTATGGACTGCATTTCACTCTAAGGAAGACAAAATGTCTTCATAACTGCACCAATAAGCAACATCATGATAAATGGAGAAAAGATTGATGTTGTCACGGTTTTAATTTTGCTTGGATCCACCCACAATTAACACCTGTGGAAGCAGCAATTAAGAACTCAAACCACATATTGTAAAGGGAAAACCTGCTGTATGTACAAGGACCTCTTTAAAATACTAGAAAGCACGGATGTCACCTGGAGGGCCAGAGCATGCCTGACTCAAGCCCTGGCATTTCCATTCACTTCAAATATGCACGGAAGTTAAACAGTGAATAGGGAAGACCAAAGAAGAATCGATGCCTTTCAGCAGTGGTGTTGATAAAGAATATTGAATATGCATTGGGCTGCCGAAAGAACAAACAGATGTTTCTTGGAAGAAGAACAGTCAGCGTGCTGCTAAGAAGCAAAGATGGTGAGACTTCATTGCACATTCTTTGGACGCGTTATCAGGAGAGGCAGGCCTTTGGAAAAAGACATCATGCTTAGAAAAGTTGAGAGTTAGATGCAAGGAAGAAGAACCTCTGCAAAATACACTCCAGTGACTCCAGTGATGAGCTTAGCACAGCAGAGAATGAGGTGTGAGGATGGCCCCGGATCAAGCTGGCTTTTGCTCTGTCGCTCACAGACAAGGCCATTAAGAGTTGGAGTTACTTGGGAGCTCTGGTGGCCTGGGAGCTCTGGTGGCCTAGTGGCAAGAAGCTGCACTGCAATCCCAAAGAAACACGGTTCGAATCCACCATTTGCTCTGCTGGAGAAGGAGGCGCAATATCCTCCTGTACCAGTCAGATCTGATTTGACGGTACACGCACACAAAATTTAAAAAAAAAATAAATAAAAAAAGAGTTGGAGTTACTTGATACACCTAACAGGGAGGCAGAATCAGAAGGAGAAATAATGGTTCAAACTCATCTGTCAGAAACTGATAGAACAAAAAGAGATGTAATGGTTAGAACAGAAGCTTTGAGTTTCCCAGACCTGGGTGAAATCCTGGCTTGTGTACCTATAGGTGGTGGTGGTTGTGTGTACTGTTGAACTGAAACTGACCCATAGCTGAGACTCCACCGAGTTTTCGGAGGCAATAATCGCATGGGAGGAGATTGTCCATCCTTCTGTGAAGCAGCTAGTGGATTTGAACCACGTGTCTTTGGGATTGTAGCGCAGCTTCTTGCCACTAGGCTACCAGTGCTCAGCTATAGGTTGTATAACTATCAAAAAAAGCAAGGAAACAAAAGATCAGGAACCTCTGGAGGGAAGAGTGGAATGGATGGAATCAAGCCTGAAGGTAGGAGTCGGGGTGACTTCTCTCTGAGAGGTGGCAATTCTACAGTAATTAATACAAAGTTTGCTTTGTAATTATTCATCATAGTGTACATGCGTGTGCTATTTTCATGTGGTTATATCTAACAATTTAAAAATTACTATAACACCACCACAACGTGATAGAGGTAAACAATCCAATTGAAAATGAGCACAAGATATGAACAGACAATTCGTCAAAGAAGACATTCAAATGGCAAACACACACATGAAGAAATGTTCAAAATCCCTAGCACTAAGATAGATGCAAATCAAAACAACTATGAGATATTATCTCACCCCAGTCAGAATAGCAAAATTCAACAGAGCAGCAAACAAGTGCTTTTGAGGCTGGAGAAGCTGGAACACTTAACCACACTGTTGGTGGGAGTGTAAAATGGTGCAATCACTGTGGAAGGCAGTATGGTGCTTTCTCAAAAAGTTGAAAATAGAAATACCATTTAATCCAACAATTCCACTACTGGGAATATATCCTAAAGAAACCATAACTGCCACCCAAGCAGATACATGTTCACCCATGGTTATTGCAGCTATGTTCATAAGACCAGAGTTGGAAACAACCCAAGTGCCCATTAACAAACAAATGGCTAGAGAAGCTGTGGTATAGTCACACAATGGAATAGTATGTTGCATTGAAAAACAAGGAACTCATGAAATATTATACAAAATGGGTGACCATGGAGGACATTATGCTGAGTGAAATATCTTTGTCACAAAAGAACAAATACTGCATAGTGCCACTGTTGTAAAACGTGACAGATATTGGGGTTGGGGGAACCTAAGAAAAGAGGGGATAAATAATGTGTACTGCATTAAAACAAAAGAGGGAGAGAACTGTTTAAAAGGAATATGTTGTTGTTGTTGTTATGTGCCGTCGAGTCGCCTGCGACTCATAGCGACCCTATGTACAACTGCCCTAAACTCCACTCTGTCCTGTGCCAATTGCACTGTCTCTGACACTCCCATCCCAATTATCCCAGTCACTGAATCAATCCACCTCATAGAGGGCCTTCCTCTC